TAGGATCATGGATTTCATCACGATGGGTCCGACCTTCGCGTCCCATTCCAGATTCTGCATCTCGTTGATGTAGTCATCGATCATGCCAGTTTGGCGGAGCTTATCCATCTTCTGCTTGGCTTGTTCTTGACTGGTCCGATTGCCATATTGAATCCGTAGTTCGTTTTTAAAATTCTCCCATGTCCCGATGCTGGGGTCCACCGATAGTCGTTCCACGAAGTTTCGCCAGAATTTTGCCGCACTCCCGGTAAGTTCCAGGGATGCCCACAGGATTTTGGTCTGGTCGTCCCACCGGACCTTCCTCTGAAGTTCAATTAAGACTTCCATTTGGTCAATCCAGTGCCGCACATCCTCGTCGGCTTTTCCGGAGAAGGGGATTTTTGCCTGTTTTGGCGTATCACCCAGGGTGGCGCGAGGAGGGTGCATGAGGTCTACCTCTTGCTGCCTGTTACGGCGCCTTCGCTCCTCCCGTATTCTCTGCCTTCGTTCGCGTGATCGACGATCGTTCTCTGAATCGGAAGAGCTGGATGAGTCGGAGGGGAAAGGGTCTCGAGGTCTTGCGCGGTTTCCGCCATTGCCATTATTACCATTGCCTCCCCTGCCTCCCTGCTCACTTTGCTGGCTTCCCCTTGCCTCGGAGCGGGGGGGCACGGGGGGTTGGCTTCCTGATCCTTCCGGTCTTTCTCCGGAATTACTAGGGGGTTCTGGGGAGGTTGGGGGGTACTACACCCCGCCTCCTGAGCCTTCAGGGGCTGCTGCCGTTCTACTGGCTGCTACCCGCATTTGCTCGATAATCTCTTCCAGGTTTTTCTTCGTACCTGCGAACTGGTCTTCCATTGCGGCTTGTCTGTCCCGCTCCATCCGTTCCAGGGCAGCCGTGACCTCCGCGGGTAGCGGGACTGGGCCGTCTTTTGGGAGTTGCTGGACAAAGTTGGTCAGCGCGTTTATGTGCTGATCCTGCCGTTCCTGCCTCTCCTGATGTGCCCTAGTTGCTTCGACGATCTGCCCAAGCACTTGACCGAGATTGCTGGTAGCGGCGGTGGATTCCGCTCGTAGCTGAGCCATGACCTGGTTGAGCTGATTGTCTCGCTCGGCCCTGTCCCCAGCGAATTTGGCGTGGAGATCTTCTACGATCTTGTTGGTGTACTCCTGCTGCTGACGGGTGAGTTCCCTGAGTATGGGAATATCTCGTACGTGCATGCTGAGTTCCTCGATCCCGCGGCTGAGTTGCTGCACTACTGGAGCCCCTTGTCGCTGGACTTCTTGCCCGATAAGATCGCCAAAGGGGTTCTCCACCCGTCGTTCCTCTACCTCCATGTTGGTATCCTCGTCGTCGTCCATTACCCGAGGTACCGAGGGCCTCTGAGTAGAGGATCTCTCTCTGATTGGGGTGACGTATGGAGAGAACTCCCGGTGGTCTACCTGCCGCCTCCTCGCCTGCCCATATGATTCTTCCTGCCTCGTCAATCCGAAGAGGGAGCCTATCGGCACATCTCTCTCTTTCCTGTGGCGCCTCTTGGCCTGGGTTTCCAATATACCTCGATCTCTCAAGGCGATTGAGCTCTCCATGTTGTAGTCTTCCTCCGACCGTTGCTGATGAGCCCTTGACATTGCTAAGCTGCTCGAGTTTGAGCTGTGGTTGTCTTCTGCACCAAGGTTGAGCAATGAACCAGGGGCTGGGTGGGCAAGTCTGAAAGACCGCTGCGAGAGAGTGATCTTGATTGGGAAGAGTTCTGGATAGTTGAGGATTTCGGGGTCGTGTTCCTCGAAGGTAGCGGTGGTCCCTGCTTCTGTAAAGAAACCTGTATAATGGAGGTATCCGCAGTATAGATGTTCGGCGCTTCCTCTTCGTACGATGAAGGATGTAGCGCAAAGGTAGTTGTTGATGGCTGCTGTTGCTACTCGGGGGTGCATATAGTACCTTGGTCTTTCTAATAGACAAATCGCTTATTCTTCTACTGAGAGCACGGTGACTATCCGCCACTAAGCAAAATACTCAGAGTATTGGTTTAAGCGAGTAGTTGTCTTATCGAGACTTTTGGTGGTTTATGCGATAGGTAAAGAGTAAAAGTTAGGGATAAGGTACAATATAGTGTTTCATTCCTATAAGCCATACATTTGAAAAATTACCGCCGATTACAACAGTAACTATGTAAAGCGTACTTAAGAAATAAAATCTGGCTTTGCTCTTCAAGTATTTCAAGGATCTCTAGTGTTTCCAATAGCGTAGAGTAGGTAGTAAATACCTCGCTAAGAAACCCGCCAGGTCCAACTTGCAACACATCAAACGGATGTTACTCAGAAATCGGCGGTCTCTACAGGTCTTAGCGAGTCGCTGTTCTGTAGTCCCCTATTCCTTTCGGATTCCTGACTTGATGGTTGATGATACCCTCAAGTCTTCGCAGAATCCTGCCCTATTTATACATGTGGGAACCTATGCCAAGGCCCGCTTTCTGATACTAACTGATACAACGATAAATAGAATAAGGTCAAGCTCCCGAAGATAACCCAGATAGAAAAGCGCCCCCGCATAGTTCCGTCCTCCATTCTAATTCCGACACGTAACCATGAACCTTGCAATTGCCAGTCATCGGGTCGCACCATACTATTGTCCTAGACCTACTTCCCTAAGTAGAACAGCCTGCAGCCGTAAGCCCCGCTTCCCATTCTATTCCGGGTGAGACACCCAATAGTAAACGTGCCGTCACAATAGTATGGTACTAGTGTGGTAACACCGCGTGCCCCCACACCACCCGATACCTTTCTATGCTTGTCCTTCCGTTACCCGACCGTCTTCGCATCACAACCCGTCACTCGTATTCCTCACTGTCCTTCGCCTCTAGGACAGTGCTCCGTAGTTCCTGTAACAACGGGGGTCTGCTGGTAATGGGGAGCGGGAAGGTGGAGAGAGGGAGTGGTGTACTGGGAGGTCGGCTTCCGCCAGGTTTTTACACGATCGTTATTAACGGGCGCGGGCGGAAGGCGCGGTTGACGCGGGCCATCTCGAGGGCACTGGGGGTGATCGTGTTAGTTGTGCTACGTACATTGTCCAAGTACGTGTCCATGCAACACGGTCAGGAATGGAGAGGCGGGAAGAACCTTCGCGGAACATATATGTATTTGTTTAGTATCAGCTAGAATTAGCTTTACCACTTTCACTCCCCCTTCCCCTTTCCCCGTCTGTGGGGGCATCAGTGCCGCGGTGGTTAACGTTGTTGATGTCGCGGGTAAGGCTAGTAGTAGCAGTGCTAGTGTTGACAGCGACCGCGATAACCATAGATAAGTACCCCTAGTGCCCCAATTACGGTCAACAACTAAGACTAGGACCCTGCTTGATTCGAAGTAAACACACCTTATCGCCCCCGCGGGCACCACGACAACAAAAAAACAGAACAACGTCTGCGGCGATAGGTTTAGGACGGCGGAGCCTGAGACGGCGAAAGCGAGCGTGGTGGATGATGCGTAGAGGAGAAGGACGCTGAGACCGAAGAGTAGGAGCTCGTAAAGCGCCATTTATAGGCGAGCCGGTATATAGGGGTGGTTCGCAGAGTGTTGGGTGGGCTAGAGGTAAAAGACTCCGTCAATACACACAAAGGGATAGGTGGTGCTTGTTAGTCTCAGGTAGGGATCGAGGGTTTAAATAGGTGGTAGGGTACCTAGACCTGTGGATTCCGCTTTGTGGCGGAAGTCCAATTGAGGGAGTGATATTCGTCTCAAGACTATTATGTACGCGGATGCAACATGCCGAATGGGAGGGTAACTACCGCGAGACAACAAGGGTATAGTTAGGCCAGCCAGAGGCACATACATGCAGTAATTGTACCTAGAAACAATTTATATGATTTAAAAAGAGATAGAGAGGCACATACATGCAGACTGATGTACTGTCGTTCCCAAAAAGAGACAGCCAAGCCAATTTTTGGCTTGACGATACATTATATTGATACTAACTGAGCTTCAGGGCATTGCTAAGGACAATTTCGCTTTGTTAGCGACCTATATAGACATATTCTTTAGATGTAAAACTATTTTTTAGTATTTTTCCCATGTCTAATGCTCCTCTTGAACACGGGTTGGAGAATTTAGTATCCGTTCGCGATCCACATAGCCGAGTTGATATTCAAAATCCTAACTGCTAGGGAAGCACTTTCCTTGGCATTATAGTTTAGGGCCCGTTTGGAGGAACGCCAGTGTGGCAACCGTAATCCTCGCCGATTTGTAAACTTCGCGTACAACTTGCTTGATTTATTACTACATACAAAAATAGATCCTTTTATACTAATAGGCAGGCGGCCAAGGGCGGTCAAAGGTAGGACTTTGTGGGTGCGTGCGGGTGACGGTTTGTGACCGCACCCGCTAGTAGGAACCCTTAGTATGACCTTAGTTCCAGCGCGCGCCCTAAACCCTACCACAGATTGTATTTTGGGTGATCGCGTGAAGGAAATCACAATCTGCCCAAATCATGATTTGGTGGGCCAAACACCTCTGAATATTTTATATTGAAGCCTTGATAGTATTGCGCGCAGCGACTCACCACATCAAGGTTTGTGTGTATTTGGTGGGGCAATAGACAAAAAGTAGAATTGCAGGAATCACGATTTCGCTCTAGATTGAGGTTTGAAATGGTGTATCCAAACAATCGGTCCTACGGCAATCTTCTGTCTAACTTCATTTGTAATAGCGCGGCTCTTTACCGCTTGGCGCTAGGAGGGGTGTAGGTGGGTAGTGGGGCAGGGCATGTCATGGTGGGGACATATGGGGCTTTTAGTGTCTCCAAAGTATCTTGTTATAATAATACATAAAATCGTTACCACCTAAAGGTAAAGTTCCTGTTAAACATAGATAGACAAAACTCTCTGCACGCGCCGCAAAAAAAAAAAATCTCATGTCTCCAAAGCATCCGCCATAACAACCACCCTAAAGATAAAGTTCCTGAGTAAATATAGATAGACAAAACCCTGTGTATGCGCCGCGTCGCAAAAAAAAAAAAAAAAAATAGCTCATGCCTCCAAAGTATCTTGTTGTGGCAAGAGTATACATGATTCACCTTCGCTATCACCCGGATTCTCATCTTGGTGGTCCGAGTCGGGGGTCGCTTGTTCTGTTGGTATTACCCCGAACCTCTTTTGGTAATCCGGAGACTCCGGTTTCTGGGACTCCGCTTCCTGTTCCGAGGGCTCTGGGAGTCGGATGTTTCCAATTGGTTGAGCCTGTCTTTTAGGAGTTCTTTTCGGGGTGGGATTGACCATTTGGGTCAGGCGGTCATCACCGGACTGGAAGTGGATGTTCCCGGAGGCCAGCTTGGACCTGGCAAGTCCCTTCACCCTCTCCTCCCTTTCTTTGGCTTTTGCACGAAATGACGCCCATGTATCTTGAAGCTCGTCAGCGAAACACTGAGACTCCGCTGCCTCTTGGGTGAGCTTGGCAATGTCTTCGTCCAGACATTTCTCCTTCCGCTTAATCATGGTTCCAACAAGAACTAGCTGCTCCTTCTGTTGCCGGAATTTCTCAGTAAGATAAATCGCTTGCGCTGAATTGGACATCTGCGCAATAAGGCTCGATTCCTGAGTGATATACTCTTCGGAAAGCTGAGACCGCTCTGCTTCATTTCCCGGATAAACTACATGTAGTAATAGAACCCAGTTAGCTATCATACCTTACAACTAGGAATGGGATACCTACAGTTGAACCTGAACCCCTTCCACATGTCCTTTCCCGTGAGAAGTACGTTGATAACCTTGGATGTATCCTCTACATCCGCTCTATGGGTGGTTTCAATACGTTCAAGGACATCAGCGGGCAGTTCCGGGCCACCAGTCTCTGGGAACCTAGAAACCGGCGGAAAGACGGTGTTTATATCTTCTTCATCGAGGCCTACGCCCCCACCCTCACCGCCCTCGTCATCGCTAAGTACCTCGAGCCGGTTGACGTTATCATCATGCCTTGGCCAGATATCGGCAAGGGTACCCCAATCATTGGGGTAATCCGACCAAGCCTCCGGGATGATAACCTCCGGCCAAGCGAGCTCCGTTAATACGCAGCTGGTAGCCCTCAAATCTATAGCGCGAGAGTGTGGCGAGTATTCTGATCCGGGAATGGCATAAAGATTTCCGGACGCAAACCTTGCTAAAATATCGTATGACGAACTCTCCAGGTTTGCTAGCCAGTTATCAGACTGATTGTCGCTTTCGTTTTCGTTAAGGTACCTAGGGTGGATATCACGTAGGATAGGGGCCCAGAGACTTAAAATATCCTTAAATGATAAGGTAATAACCTCTTGAACAGATTCCGGAGTGGGGAAAGCTGCGATGTCTCCATTTCTTGCGTGAGTAACTTCGCGATTCCTGCGGGCTTCCTCTCGTGCTCGGGCACAATTATCTTCACCATAAGACTCAAGAGCTTCTCTGGTCTTGATCCAATGGTTATGGATGATGGTCGATTGTAACTCGGAAAGAAGAAACGTCAGCCATGCATGAAGGTCTACTCCCTTTGAGCGCAGTGCGGGTGGAATTATTGCGTTGCCCAGACTCTTTCTATGCGCTACCAGGGGACCCCGAATCTTGAAAAACAATACAGATACCAAACAACGTGAAGCCCGTTTCCAATCTTCGAAATCCTATGATGTGTATCAGCACAATTACACTACTGTTGGACTATGTTCGACGCACATCACAGGCAAGGACAGAGCCGAGAAGCGCCTGGGGAAGAAACTGTTTCCAGTTGGTAACGGTGTGCTTAGCAGCTTCGATTGCTTTCTGGTCAAGCTTTACTTTCTTAACAGCACTGGGAGAGGAGGCAGAAGCACGGCGTTTACCCTTATCCTTAGGGACTGGGGTAGGATTCCTGGATGGGGCAGCACTCGCTGTTTCTTCCCTTTGAATGGTTTCCAGAGGCATGGTTGCACAGCAGGATGAGGTTTCGGTCCGATGGGTAGGTAAAACACTTTATGGGGATCAAAAGCTCTCATATAAGTATGCTCGATCCACACACACCGCTCTGCAAACCTCCGAGCCAATAGTTATAGTTCAAACCCCTGTCAAACTTCAATGTTGGATGTAACAAGCTGGGGGTGCTGTCACCCAAGAAAAGCAAACCTGGTGTGGCTTCACCACAAATAATAGTACTAAGGGTGCGTTTGGCAACAGGCCTCGGCGGAGGTTAAAAGGGCCCAAACACCGTTAGCCACTCCTAGATCCTCAAATCCTCATAACATCGTTTTGAGAACTCTCATTTTGCAATCACCTAACAGAATAAACTCCAACATAACCTTTCTAGCTGACTCACCCTACTCAATCACTTACGGTCAGGGGTAGTCGTATGAAGGAGGGGCAGCTATGCAGTTTCATGTTACTAATCTGATTATGATGTTTGAAATGTTGAATTAGGGTTGCTGGTCCCTTGGAGAGCGATATAAGCTCTTACCCCATGCCCTGAACGAAGTGAAGGGCACTTCGTTCAGCTTGGACAGTTATTCTGAGATAATAAGGAGATGCCGGAGGCCTTCACCTATTTTGACATGCAGCGCATGATTGCTGCACAGGTGCCGTCTGGGGTTTACTACTTGGAGGTCCATTGGAGATGGCACCGGAAAGATAACAAAACAATTCGAGATCAACAGCTTCTACCACCCCTCGCCTCGACCAGAACAGACGGGACCAGTGTGTACAAAGCCTTCGATTTCAAAGGGAGCGATGTTAAGTTTTGGGGGAAGGCTTTGGGCACTCCAATTGGGAACAATCGCTGGTTCAGGGTACAGTTCGCTTTACACGGGCATGCTCTACCGATTACTCGAGCTGAGTATGAAGATATGGTAAAGAATTGGGAGGCTCTTCCTACTGCCACTACCGCGACACTTCCTGGCATTACTACAATAGCAGCTGCTATTGTAGGGGAGGATATGTGCGTTATTTTTGTCGACAGAAATCGGCTCATGACCTTGACAGTGACCTCGACAGTGACCGCCGACGGCATATGGTACGATACCTCGTTGGCACCATGTCCTATTCAATGCCCAATGCAATTTCAAGAAAACTTGACAAAATCCAGGGCGTTGAGGGCAAGAACAACACCGATATATCAGGAAATGACCAGCCCTACAAAAAACAACTACTGGAACGGGATCGGTACTAGCCACGTAGTTGAGATCCTTCACCGAGCACTTATACACCCTGAAACCAAAACATGCGAGATATTTGGCGCAAAAGAGCTGAGAGATAGGTATTTTTTTTTATTTAATTCATTAATTGAATGCAACCTCACTGAGAGATAGGTTGTTAAAAGCGATACGGGATTTCTTTTCAATTGCTGCATCAGACGAGTACCGGCAAAGAGTACCAGCTAACGGGACATCAAATCACTGTTTTGAATTCTCACCAGCCGTGACAAAATACATCAATGAACAGTTTAGTAAAGCCTATCGAAAGCCAACAACTTTGATCAACTACACCAATTACAATTACCTTTTTACTAACAACCTATTTGCACCTGAATCAAAACGATTACCTGACGGTTGGCAATCTGATCTCCTTACCGATACTGGTAGGGAAAGGAAAAAGATTATCCCAATTTATACGATTGAATTGAGAAGCAAAACCAAAATGAGAATGGAAGGGCTAGAGGCAGATGAAGAAAAGAAACCGGGTGGTTCTAGTAAATATACTTACACGTGCATTTTCAAACAACCCAAGGGGGCAAAGGGAATATTGTTATCAAAAAAGAGAAAGTCTTTAGCAGCAAATGGCAATACAGCAGAAATTGGAATAGCTAGTTTTATGGACACAATTAGGGAAATTAGGGAACGTGGAAAACTAACTAAAATGGGAAGTCATAGAGTACCTATTAAGACAGGAAAAATTGGTAGACCAATTAAGCGGAGGAAAAGCTCAAAAGATTGAATAGAGCGTATTTACTAGATAACCGTCAATTCTGACACTTCGCCACTCTCCAAAGCGAGGGGATTTGGCACTTAGTAATAATTATCCTTAAATGATGCGAGCTATATGATACTAGAGTACACAATTTTTTATTTCTTTTATACTATTTATTTTATAGTGCTGTGGTTGACGTTTTGGATTTTGGTATCGTGCCGTAAAATGTATGGTAGCCTCGACATTACCTCCGCTAAAGCGCATCCCTCTGTTGCTGCCCACCTCTTTTTATATATATAATATATATATCATACAGTAGGTTTCATTGATTCTGGGTACAAGAATATCGCATTCAGCTGACCCCTTTCCCGCCGAAATCCCTGTTGTAGTGGCTAACTATGCGATTTGTTCTTCGGAACCGACTGGTGTAGTACCGTACCGGGTCTCGTGCTGAGGTCCTGGTTGGGTTGGGTTGCGTCGCTTAAGCGCTAACGCTAAGGCAGTGTCGATCACAGTGCGATCTATTCTTCGGAACTGACTGTCTCGTGCTGAGGTCTTTTGGGAATGAGACTAGGGGCGCATAAAATACATGTACATATTATAGGTTTATAGCAAATGTACTTAATTCTGCCCGTAGCAGCTCACTCTCCCCAAAGCCTCCTACAGCACCTCCTCCCCACAGCACTAAACCACTCTAAACGCAAAGATGAGCGCAGACCCAGGCCGGGACCGACGGAATGAGAGAAACAAATTCAGAAGACGTAGAGGTGTCCTTATGAAGAAAGCTTTTCAACTAAATGATTTATGCGGCGCCCGAGTCTGCGTGGTTGTTGAGAAGGACGGTCGCTACTACACTTTCCGATCAACTCAGGATGAGTCCTGGCCGCCAAATATAAAGGAAATTGTTTGTAAGCCCTTTATATTCCAACTATACTAGTCACTAATTATTTTGGTTATAATAATTAGCAAAAGAGCTACCCATTGCCAAAAATGCTATATCCAGAACACCTTAGGAGGAACCATTCCATTGTGGCCGACGCCGACACCGCTGACACCGACACTGCCGACACCGCCGATGCCGATGCTGCCAACGCCGCCGACATCGACACACCAGTACCAGGTGAAGCGAGCACCAGTTTTGTCTTCACCCCCCCGGTCCTAACAGAATCCCCGGAATTTACAGCGCGCTTTGCACCTCGAACTTGATGAATGGAATTAGTATGCGTTGTATTGTATTTTTTAAAATATTCATATATTTTACTTTTCTATGTATGCCTGTAATTGCTTGGTTTCTACGCGTTTTTAAACTTGTCATGTGCCGGAAGAAAGAAATATTCGATAGATGTTTCAAGGGTAAAAGGGTAGGATCTCAAATCTAATATCTCTTCTTTGCATATCTGCTACAATCTTCCTGGCCGTATCTGTGGTGCGCGAGTCCGCACAAGCTTCCAGATGCAATCAGTATTGGTGTAGGCATAAAATGTGGGAAATAAACTTACTTGTAAAGATTATAGAGCCTTTCTGCCCTCTTATCTTATCTCTCAAAAATATTTCAATATCGGGTGGTCTACTCTCATAAAACTTCGTGATGCGATTATTGCTCCCGTATTTTATTGTTTGTCCCGGTTGAGTTCTTCGGTCTCTGTATTTTCCGAGGACAAAAAGAGATATTTTTAGAATCTTAAGCGTGGTGGTTTTGCATTAGTGAACCTTTCCCACAATATTTTGTGGTGCGGCAGCTACTCACTTTATGTGTATCTAGAACCAATAGTTTTTCCATCCATTGACTTACCCAGTCTTCTTGACCTGTATAATCGTTAATTATAAACCATGTCTGTGAGGAATAGAATTAAAAGGTGACAGTTCTTACATTCTTTTTCAATCTGCCAATGAAGAAAAATATTGTGCGTTCTGACTTCGCAATTATTATATCCTTCAAGAAGTCTTCTAATATAAGGTAGTTGCCCAGAAATTCCAATCCCGGTTGCTAGCATAACGACAGTCCCATATGACCCAAAATCCCTCTCAACCCCATACGGACCTTCGACAAAAGCCGTTAGTTGGGATCCTAAATGCTTAAAGATATTCCTAGTAAATTCTTTACAAGGACGAACTAGAAAAAACACGGTTGTATTGCCCAGTGCATCTTGGTCCCACCATGCAATCATAAAAGGATGCGATTGAAGGCAGGCAAAAAGACTTGCTCGAGGTATGGAAAGGTATAGGTATTGGCCAGCTTGTAATTTCCATGACCTTCGAATATTCAGTGTTATTTTGATAGTATTGTCGACTAGAACTCCATCATCGCCATTTGTCTGAATTCGCTCCACTACCGCCTCGGATGCGCACCGACCCTGACCAAAATTTCTATACAACAAAAGAAAGGCTCGGATGATAGTAGCTGCACCCCAAACGGCAACTGCTACAATGAGGTAGATTTTGATTGATTTCGGTGTTACATGATACCAGAGTGCTGTGATCGTTAGAATAGCTAAGAGCAGGTGAAGCTTTAGGAACAGCTCGTAAAAAAGATTGCGGATAAAGTAAAGCGACATGAGAAAAAGCAAAGACATCCCTGTAGCAGCCTAGAATAGTAAGTTAAAAAGAAGCACATCTTTATTGTAGGGTGGGGGTTGTACCAGCAATCCGGATCCGGGGAGTTTGGTAAGCCCAAGTTCGAGCCCTTTTTCGGGCCCGGTACTTGCAATTGTGACGTGCAAAAGACTTTGGATAACCGCCATTCTTCCAATCCACCTGTGCATACGGCTGTGGTTCTCGTATGACACTCCACAGAAGTCGCCAAGGAATGTTAAGCGCCCACCGAGACAGAGAGGCACCAGGTTCACCAGGGACATCAACCCTGTTCGGGTTCTTAATTGAACAAAGCTTGTGACGCCAAATGCCATACACAGGATGTTCCCAGTGACGTATATGAGAATGATAAGAAAATGAAGCCTGGTTATTGTACCTCCGCCCCTTAACAGCCTGGGTATTTGGGGATAAATAAGATATTTCAAAACAAAACGCTTCCCATAAACATGAGCAGTTGAGAGGGCTACAAGATATAGGCGGTATAATAGGAAAAGGGCTACCAGAGCCCCCAGTGAAATCGCGTACCAGTGTGTGATATCCATTGCTGGCAGAGTCATCTGAGCTACGTATGCGATCTGGCTTTATATCTGACTGTTTGGCATGTGACTCCGCAAAATCGGGGGCTGCCAAGGCAAAAATCTGAAGATCTTGCTATTAGAGGAAGCGATCTTCAGGGTTCAGGCTGCTAAAATATATTTGTTACGAGAGTTGGTAACAAGGAGCTTGATTCGGCTACAATGGATCACATCAAGCCATATGGCGCCGTGATGAGTTCCTAGCAGCGTATTTATAACTACTAACTAGCAGCCAGATCAAATCTCTCGCTTTCCAGTCAAAACCTGATACAATGAACTCCAAACCAAAAGACCGAAATACAATCTGGCCCGGGCGGTTAAACGAGATAGCGAACAGCGTGGCGGATTCAATTCGAGGATCCCCGTCCCTACGTACTTCGATTGACTCGAGCAAAACCCCCGAAGCTCCCCCCGTTGTGGAAACTCCCCCTGTTGTGGAGGCTTCCCCCGTTAACGTTGTGCAAACTCCCCGGCGCCCTATTTCAATAACATCGACGGCAACAAACTCGAAAATCATCCTAGGAAAGCCTTGGAAACATTATGAAGACTTTTTAGAGATTGAACTTGGAGGGCCAGCAACGCTTGCCTACCGCAAATCAGATAAAAAGGGCCGCCAGGTATTTGCTATAAAGAAATTCAATGGTACTATTGAAACAGCGAGTATACTGTTAGGGAATCTACACACAAACATCGTTCGTTGCTATGAGGCTTATAACTTGCGCGAGCAAGTTTTTCTGGTCGAAGAGTACATGGAAATTTCTTTATTAGAAGTGATCACCTGTACGTGGGGCCTAGAAGAGGACCAAATAGCCACTATCTGCCTAGAGGTAAGTTACCGGAGTTTCTTATGCGATTCACCCACTATTCTGTGGAGAGACTGACCTTCAGGAGGTTCTCAAAGGAATCAAGTTTCTGGACTCCGTGGGGCTGTTTCATGAGGATATTAAACCCCAAAACATCTTACTTTCAACCCTTGGTTCTGTGAAGATTGGAAACCTTGGCTGTTGCAAAAAAAATGATGCTGGACAGAGTAGTTTGGAAATCGGCAACGGCAAGCAGCTACGCTACTTGGCTATGCAAATGATGGATAAGAATGTTTTCTATATCGCAGACCTTACAGGAAATCCGCCTATTTTAGGGCAACCAGAGCGTTGGAGTCCGGAGGCTAAAAGCTTCATTGTGATTCCTACAAGTTCTTCGCGTCCAGGTAGCGATATAGCCAATGCAAGTACTATCATTACCTGTGAAATGTACAATTTTTTAACTGACGATTTCGTAATTGTAGCACGGTTTCTTAGGCAAAGTTTCTAGCTGCGCTAATTTAATTCCTCACATCATAATGGCTATGGTCACAGTGCGGAGGGAATGGGGCATGGAGATAAAAAAGGTACCGCAATCACTAGTGCTTAGCCTTACCCACTACACTACCGCAGGTAAATACTAACTGCGGGAAAGGGGGTTTAGCGCCGCCAGAATAGGGCGGACCTTCTTAAGATTTGCAGGTATTGCGAGTTATATTCGTTTGCTATACAATATTGCTTATCGAGTAGCTAAATGTATGGATTATAGATAGGTTTTGGTATTAGTGTTGTCTCGATAGATAGAATCCACCGCTTAACACAAGGCTTTTATTTTGAAAGTAACTTCATTGATTGCGGACCGAGAAAAGCTTTGCTCCTTCTTGGAGTTACGAGAAAGAGTACTCCAAATACACTCTTCGATTTGCACCCATGCGAGTGGGTACAGAAGCCGTTCGTGGTTTGCAATTTCGCTCCACATGGGTATCGCATATCTGTTATATTTGGAGTGTTTATTAGCTACCTCTCTAAATCTCTGTCATTTTAGCAATAGCTTTCGGCTGCGTACCTCCTGTAAAGGGCTGTTTTAAAGAGTGTTTCTTTGTTCATGCGCAGAATATAGTATTCCAATACATTCAGCATAGTTTCATGAATCTCAAGCTCCCTTGCAAGCGGTGATAAAAACCATTCGATCTTAAGCCTGTTTTAAAAGTTAGTACTCCTGTTATCTGAGTTTGTGTTGAAAGCCATTACTCATCGTATTTAGCCTGCCGTCCGGCGACAAGTAAACTGGGATAGTGAAATCTTGGCCCAAAGAAAGTTCGGTGTGACAGTTCAAATTCCCGTTGAGTCTCCTCACGTTGGGATGTTTCCAATTCCAACAGTAGCTGTGGCCACTGCTGCTGCTCGAGTAGTACCCATTTGCTTGAATCAAGATTTAAGTTGCCTGCTATCTCTTCCCACATTGACTTCGCGTGCCTTAAATAGAACGAAAACCTTTCATTAGCATGGCTACTTTCTGTAGTTAACTCTGAGGATATATAGGAATAAACCTTCTATAACGCGCATGGCGGAAGACCGCTTCCTGGTGGTAGATATGAGCCATAGAAGACTCGATCTTCTTCCATAAGATTAAATTGCCATGGATTTCCATTGACAGAGGCCCCCATAATCTATCTCTCTTGAGGCTGTTTCAAAAGACGGTGTTTGTCAGTCGACTAGTTAGATAGATGTGATTTAGAGATGCCTACGCTTGGTACTGGTTGTTGATATCTGCCGTTGGAATACGAAGGGCACGGAGTTCTCTCATCCTAATTCTCACATCACATACACGGCGTGAAAGTTCCTCTGCGATGTACTTTACATCGACGCTTTGGAGCATATTCCATATCAACGTTTCGTCTTGTTCTGGGGTGAATTTCCGAAAGTTCAAGTCGCCTTGCATGATTGGTGATGCGCATGAGTTGATAGCTAGATCTAGTGAAGAAACATAGAATTTATAACCTCGTAGGCTACTCATTTCCAATTAATAAGGGGATAGACTGGCCCATACTCTGATTTCTTTTTATTTTCTTGATGTTCTAGGCGATTCAAACAGTTGGGACTTGAGTTTAGGTTTGGGGGGCGGCTTAGAATTAGACGCGGATAGCCGAACACGCTGGTTTGTAATGTTCCAAATAGTTCGGAACCGAAGAACCGTTCAAGCCGTCTATCCCAACGCTAGACAAGTCTTACAGACCAGGTCGGTGAGTACAGACCAGGTCGGTGAGTACTTGTTTACCACGAAAAGAACCAGAAAATGCAGTTGCTCAGGGCAAGGATTATTTGTATGGAGTGGCGGTGATCTCTCATACAAACATCCTGTTTCCGTCACTTGCATTTTCTGGTTCTTTTCGTGGTAAACGAGTACAGATACTGAGTTAGCGGCAGCACCGTCTTCGCCAAGATTCTTGGCAAAGACATGTGATAGTGATACCTAAAATGGCCTCCAAATTCCAAGACCCGGTATGGTACCACACAGTCGGTTCGACACTCCTGACATTGTCATGTCTTAGCGCTTAAGCGACGCAACCCAACTCCAAGGACGAATGTACTCTACGTGCGGTGGTACCACACTACCGTAAAATCTCGGGGGTTGACAAGGCCACCTGCTAAACCACATTTAGTTTAGATCCTACAGAAGAGCGCTGTTTTCTTTGAAGATCCTCAGCTTTTTGCCTTGGCAACTCCGAGATTTCACGGTAGTCGGTTCCGAAGAATAGACCACTTAGCGCTTAAGCGACGCAACCCAAGCTCAACGTCAATGTCGGCCTTCAAATTCCAACACAAATAATTTTTACGCTATGAGTCATTTTGGCCAAACAAAATTTAATTTATAATTTGTAAAAGCAATAAAAGCAACGCAATACAAAAAAGGAGGGAAAACAAAAACAAAAAAACAAGCTCCGTATGACCCACTATGTACCCCTCGACTGAACTAAGAACAACCAACTCGCACCGCATATCAAAAGCAACCCGCCAAAACCATAGCAAACAGTATCAACCCGAACGATGGGCCATTGAGCCCAGCCCCGTTCGGGGGGGGCGGGGTTGTGGAATTCCCCGTATGACTCCCGGAAGAGTTAGAAGAAATTTCAGAGGAATCAGGGAGACCTGTCCAGATACACCCAGAGCATGTACTCGTTGGCCCACCTTTATCTGGGCGTTCCCCGAATGTCCCGGTTCCCATAGCAAAGCCTGTACCAGTACCAACCCACCCGGTTTGCCCCACATAAACAGAGGTACCTGTTTCCACCACAATCCCGGTCACAGTACTATTTAGATGCCCAGTAGTAGTGTTGAAATGCCCCTCAGTAGTGTTGAAATGCCCCGCAGTAGTATTGGCATGCCACCCTATTGGTTCAGTTGGACCTGTAAGATTTCTCCAGCCTGTCGAAGGCAAGTCATGACCATCGGGCCTGCAGCTCAATGCCATTATGGTTAACTACCTATCTCGAACCTAGCAAATGAGAACAATAGGTAAATACCTTCTCTCAAGTTCAAGCGCAAGTGAGCTCATAGAGACCAGAAAGGCACTAATAAGAATTGTATAGAATAGAAGGCTCATGTTTGTAGTTGAGGTGTAATTTTGAATTGTGTTTGTCCTTCATCCTCCTGTTCGACTGAGAGGCTTATATAGAATAAAGGTGTGCTGATATTATACTAGTTATGTTATATAAGTGTGCAGCAGCTGTATTTCGGCTCCTGGAAACCACAAGTTGATCCACTGGATCAAAACTGGCCACATTGACCCTAAACAGGTCAAGGTTGTCTACAACCTGCCTTACTTTCCATGAATCGCGCATCCTAGATAGACCCGTAATCTGAACTTAGAGGCTATAAAAGCCTTCAAATCTTCGAGCATAAATCCTTACTCTCAGCAATACCCCCACATATATAAACATCCCCAAAGATTTATTAGACAGACCTTCCTTGAAAATAAGCTTGTTCCAAGATACCCAAAACCCATTATGTCAACCAAGCACACCAAAAAAACTGCCGCAGCCCTTACTGAAAAATTAAGGACGCAGGCGCAGGCTAAGCGGACTGAAGCTCGCAAACGCAGTGAAGATAAGGCTATAGCGGATGCTCTACGCCTTGAAGCGGAAAAGATAGAAGCTGCGGCCGACAAGGTCAATGACGCCCAGGAGATGGATATAGATGTGGATTCGCTCATTCAGGAGTTTAGGAAAGATTTGGATGGATTGCAAGGATCTATGGATTGGGAGCCGGAGACAACGCCGGAGACGCCAGCACCGCCAGCACCACCAGTGCCACCGCCAGCACCGCCAGTGCCACCGCCAGCACCGCCAGTGCCACCGCCAGCACCGCCAGCACCGCCAGCACCGCCGCCGCAACACCCGGAGGGCAAATCCTGGACTAAAGAAGAACTTGATGAACTTCCGGATCTCGAACTCCGGCAGGATGTAAACATGTGGAGTTTTGACGGACGGGTCGAGGGAAGAGCAAAAGCGGGATACGGCCAACGACTGATCATAGCGCGCGGGCCGCGAAGGTTCTGCATCTACCGCCTGGTAGCATCAAGCACTTGGCCTGGAAGTAAAAATTTCGGCGAGGATATCAAACATCGGGGGGCGGTAAAGGGGCAGAATTTCAAGATAAAAGGGGTTGCCTATGCAGACACTAAGGGGGATTCAGGCCCGGAACTGATGAACCCGAGGGGATACGGCAAAGGAAAGAGGTTTCCAGTAACATATGTGAAAATATGGTGGGGAGATATGGTGGGGGAAAATGGCATGAACTCGGATAGCTCCACAACTTGGGAAACGAGGACGACAGTACGCAAACTATATGGCGGTACCAACATTGGGGACGTATCCATATACGAGGCCGCATTACTTTTAGAACAATCCGCCAATGAATTCATCGAGAAGAACCCTGATTGGCGAAGTATTGTAGATCCTTCTTGGTCAAGCAAGGTGAATCGGGAGGTGATCGAAAGGGAAGTCAAAGAAGAGGCGGATGCATAGATAGGAAGTCTTTTTCAGTTTAGGTTGTTTCAACACGACCGTCTTGTTCGGGCTGATTCAACACGACCCGGTTTTGACTTTGATTTTTGTTTGATTTTTTTTTGATTTTTTTTTGATTTTTGTTTGATTTTTGTTTGATTTTTGTTTGATTTTTGTTTCTCCGCGCATGAACAATCTTTTGTAGTTATAAAGGATTATTAGCTAAAATTGAAGATCCTCCAATCCTGGACCACTTAATAAGGGAATTGCCTCACTGTTCTTGAAGATAGAAATTCGGGAAAGAACACGCTAGCTTTAGTAGTGAATAACTTAATTTTATTACCAAGTTAAGAACAAATTGACAAAGGAAATAGTCATTACCAGAACGAGGGTAAAAAAAACACCCCCAAAAAATAAAGAACTATGAGGACAAGAATTGTGAATTAACAAGGGAAAACAAAATAAGCTTATATCCGCGTGATAAAAGTCAAAGAGAAGTGTCTCAAAAACCACTAGCACCAAAAAAGCCTGCCAAATCTTCGCTGGGTAAAGGTCGGCGATGTTTTTTTTTAAGATAAGATTTCACAGTTTGGACAGATTGACTCAGAACTTTCTTTAACAACGTTAGCAAGGGTTAATCACAGAACATCCAGAACTACTTGCCATCGCCATATGGATACTGTTCATGGGCTCGATAATTTCTTGAAGATCATCCAAAGTCGGGGGAACCTCGCGAAGCTTGCCAGGGACGCATACAGATTGTGTCTGGGAAATCATAAACAGTCTGTAAACCTGGAACTTGAGACCTATCGCTACTGGTTAGTCTAAGGACTAACAGATGAACATGTTTATATACCAGCATGAATGAAGGCTACAAATTGTAAGGCCTTCATGGTATCTTCATGATGTTCGACCAAGTCGCTCATGCGCATTGCCATGGTGTGTATTGTCGTCAACAACTTGTTCGAGTCATTAAGCCATTTTGGTGTGCTAGTGTTTTTAAAGTCTGATGAGACTTCGACAGCTCCAAACTCTAAGCGTGGGTTGTCAAGGGTGTACACTAACCCATCTAGCTTGGACCTCGGGTTCCTACTGTGGGGTTCTGTGCCGCGTTGCTTTGAACTCCACTCAAGTGACGATGACTGCACCTCTTTGCTATGCAGCGTCAGCACAGGTTGATACGAAATTACCACGGGAAAATTAACCGTTGCAAGAATAGCCCATCGTGACCGACGACACAAGAATCGATGAGCATAGCCCAAATGTTCGAGTCGAGCCAACCTTCTTTGGCTTCCACGTTGTTCAGGTTTGGATGACGTTCGTATAACCTGATCCTAGGAAGTATTAGTCTTGAAGGAATTGAAGTATGCAGATAAGTCAATCGGGTACTTGCATATGCATGAAGACTTGATTAACCCACTCAGCATCAGCGTGTATCTCCCTTTGATAGGTCACATTTTCTTCGCGATAAGGTACTGTCTCGAGGATCTCCCTGAACGTGTTTGACTTGGCCCCCCAAAACCTACCCAATGATCGGGCAAAATGCTCATCTGGTTTTTGGACCTCAGGAATGAGCTCCTTCAACTCTAATATCTCGGATTCCTCAAATAATTCCATAACTAGAGTGTCGCCCAGATCTATAACTCCCTCCCTAGCTAGATGTCGGAGTGGAATAGTGCTTTCAGTAATTACTTGGCTCGGATTCCGGTGTGTAGTGGCAAAACTGAACCCCCCCGACCGTAGTGTTGTTGGTGGTAGTGTTGTTTCATTATGATCATTGATGTCTTCGTTCATTTCATCGGTATCATCAACGCTGCCTCCGTCGGTATTGAGATCGGTGTTTCCGTAGTCAGTATCGGAATCGGCGCTCATGTCTGTGTCCAGAATCAGTCAGGAAGGTTTTTCTAACGATAATCAGGGTTTCCTCTTACCTCTGGCGAAATCGGGCTGTCCATTGATGTTGGTACCTATCAAAGCTGGGCCAACTGTTGTATTAGGAGCGCAGTTGTAAACGATACTGGTTTTGGTCTTTTGTATATTTTGTTGCCGCCGTGTTGGTTGATTTAAGTCCAACCAGCTGATAGCCCTCCGTTTATCCTGCAATGCAACACCTATATATAAGTACTATCTACTGAGGGGAGGGACTCAGTCCGCCAAGAGCAGGCGTTCGTCTATCTAACGTGCTCATACTCTGGTATATCCAGTGCAGGCGTTCGTCTATCAAACGTGCTCATACTCTGGCGGTTTACTTGCCGCAAGCCCCATCGCCGACAATAACTAGATGGGGCTTGCTGGAAGTAAGTCGGGGGATTAGCCCCTACGCGGCACAGGGCCAAACGCATACACCCTTGGATACAGATTCACACCGTATCCAATCCTCTGAGCACGTATAATGTGCTAATGGATGAGGGATATTTGAAACATACTTACTCGGGAATCCCACTTTCCAAGGAGTGATTTAGCCCATTCCTTCAATTCCACCAATCCATCTTCTTTCTTTGCGTAATAATCCAAGCTACATCGCCAAATCTTGACAGCCTTCCCATGGTTGTATTGTTTGTCTGTCCGTGTTTTGATGTGGTGGAGGGTTGTGTCGAGGAAACTCTTAATATCCCACTGCTTGAACCCCACATCTCTGAAATAACTTGGGATAGCGCGGGGTTTGGAGGACATGGTCGATAATGAAGAGGGAGTGTGAATGAGTGCTGGACCCAGGATTTCCTCTCAGTTTATATCTTCCCCTAGTCTCCTTATTGAAAAAAAGATGTGGGGAGGATATACGAGTCCGGCTAGAATGGGTTAAAGGACATGAGGAACCGACGCTAAGAACGGGACAATACCAACAAGTACCTGCACTTAATCGCCAAGAAAGACTCCGCGGACTGCAAGTGCGGATAAGGAGAACAAACTGTAGCTCATGTGCTCACACAGTCACTGCATTGCTCACACAGTCACTGCATTGCAACGGCAGAGGCCCGAACGACCAAGATCATCAAACTTAGACTGTGGACAGACGCTGTGCTGAAGATCCGCAGATGGAGGCATAAGAGAGGGGGACAGGACAAGACGCGGAAGATGAAAGAAAAAAATGGAATGGCTGGGGAGATCCGGCGCCGAGCCTGCTCTGCATGCGAGGACGGCGTGTTCAAAGTTTCTGGGCCTATATCTTTACCTAATAATGCCCCCCTTTCTTACATACTCTATCAACGCTAACCATTCCCGGTCCCCTGCCACGATTTAACTGGTGAGCCAGCCCCTGAAAAGCGAAGCTACCTGGCCGCCGCCATCAGTAATATAAACTGGGTGGATTCCTTATACTCCATCGCTTCCTTCGATCCTTAGCTCATTCTTTCTTGTCTACGCGTAGTTCTTTTCTTATCTCCCAGTTAACAATAATCAATATTTTTCTTGGTGAGTCTACCAGTCATCGTCTGTACCAACGTTTCTATTACTCCGGCCGGTGTCGGGTCGTGGGGAGGAGTGACCGTTCGAACCGGATTGCTGGCCTCCGGGGTGGGTCTCCGGCGCCTCTCTCATCCATTGTGTTTCTATCGCATCGATGCCTGTGGCCGGTCGGAGCCTGTGCCGTCAACATCTTTCATGATCGTTCTGGCGGACTTGGGCTTTGGGTGCTACGGCTACCGATTCGCTTACCAGAATATCGTGATTTGTGTCGCTGGATAGTTTATTGTTTACCTCTCTTATTTTTTGGGTGCTTGTTTATTAACCCTCGGGTTTCCCGCGTCACACTTTTTGGACCCATGCTTTGTCGTCGGACCGTTTGTGGGATCCCCGAGAGATTAAATTAGCGAAGGTGGAGCGGACATCGCTTTCCGGCCAATTCAGTGGGAGTTGGTGTCTGCTTCGCGATCATCTTTTGGGATCTTCGTACATTTCCTATCACTTGTAAATAAGTTATATTTCGCGTTCGTTGCACGTGTCTCAATATGCATAATTTCTATCCTTAATTTATACGAATCGTATCATGTCGAGGGCGCTTTACATGGTAGTTTATTTAAATTGTGTAAAGCATCTACCCAGAGTCTAGGCGGGGTAACCATGAGGTTTGGGAATGAAACAGTTTGGTACTAACATTTCTCACGCTTATTAATCATATCCGTTTCTCGATATGCTCAGGGTCCCTTGAATATTATCTTAGCACATAAAAGATAAAAGATATAGATATTTAGCCTCAACATCTCCCAAAATTATCCCCCATCTCCCCCACCTCCGCCTCCGCCTCCGCCTCTGCCTCCCCCATCTCTGTCTCTGCCTCTGCCTCCCCCATCTCTGTCTCTGCCTTTGCCCCCCCGCCCGACGCGCCCCCACCCTGCTTCCTCGCTTGATGCTTGGCCCTGCTCCTTTTGCTCTTTTTCATCAATGCCCAACTCCTTTTCCCCGCCATGTTTACCCGCTGAAGGAGGGTGTTTTTAAAGTTGTCCAGTTCGTGTGGGTCTGAGGGCAATACGTTTTTCTTCTGTTGAACCTCTTTCCAAATGTCCTCTAAGAGCTTTTCCCTCACTTGGACGTCCCGATCAAGCCACTTATCAGACGTGTAATCCCATAACCCTCGAAACTTTGCCTTCAAATTGTCAGTGATGAAACCGCCCAGTGACCAGATTAACCTACCTGAAGATCCACAATCGTGATAGCGTCTCCAGTGGCCTTGCAAAGTGCTACCCATGGGTCTGCTTTCGCGCACCCCACGGTCTGGGCAGCCGCCTTGCGTATTAAATTACTGCATTCCTCGTTCCAAGTATTTTGCCTTGCCACCTCTTTAATCTGTTTCTCTAATTCATCTATTGACTTTTCTTCTTCGACTAACACCCGCCGAATCATTCTCTGCAAATTTCTCAGCAAGGGGGCCTGGGCTATACAACGAAAAGGTCAGCGCACCTTAAGTTTCAAGAAAGTTATAGGATTTCCAATCTCATTCAGCAGCGCTGTATAGGGATTTGTGTTATTGGCCATAGTGTTTTCGTTTTACTAGCAGTGTAGTTGGAGTTGAGTTGAGGTGAACTATAACGGACAAGGTGGGGTTATTCTATAGTCATTTGCCAAATCTTGAATGTATTCTTGGCATCGCACAAACGGCAGCCCTGCCGCGGCGGCGGGACGGCGCTACACTAGGCCGCAGCGCAGCTTACAATATACATATATATTGGTATAAGAGGTACAATATTAATGCCATAAAAGCGCCCATGAAAACACCCGCAAAAAAAACGCATGTAACGTATGCTTCAGTCGCGTTCATTGCCATACGCCTTATTTCCAGCGCCTCATCCCTGATGGCCGTTGCCTCTGACAAATCCACCCGCCTCATTTCCAGCGCCAGATCCCTGATTGCCAGTCCCTCATCCCTCATTGCCATTCCCTCCGTGAACACTATCAATGACACATCATCAGTCTTTAGCAACTTTACTGTATGAGGAAAACGGACATTCTTCTGCTATGGCAAATAATTCACCGCCTAGCGTACTAGTTAGTTTTTCGTAGCGAGAGTTGGTTTCTGAATAACACCTACATGGCTGATGGCGCGATTCGTGCAAGTCAAAACTTCCTGTGGACGTCATTCTGTAAGGTTTATTGTAAGAATCTGGCTTGATACTCTTTACACTGTCCTTCTTCTACACTATTATTTAAAGTTATGTATGTGTTAGAGAGTTTAAGCCACCCAACCTTTTGGCAAACAAAAAAGATCGTCGGATAAAAAAGATCAGGGGTCTCGGGTCAAAACTAATACAGGATTGGTAATCGTTTTAATCTATTCAACTAATGAGTCCACACCCAACCCCCCACGGACGGATCAAGAACACCCCGCACTGTGTGGCTTCGCAGATCCCAGCTAATGCACCCGCGGATCTAGAGACTTGCAAAATCCCTCAAAATCCCTCAAAATCCTGAAGAACCTCATCCGCGCTGTGAGTGGCTCTACAGATAGCAATCCCAGCTAGCCACACCTTCAGATGAAGAGTCTCCTTCAAAGTCTTGAAAAATCCCTCAAAATCCTGAAGAATCTCACCCGCGCGGTGAGTGGCCCGGCAGGTAGCAGTGCCGCTAGACACACATCTTCGGATCTACTCTAGAGTCTCCTCCAAAGTCTTGAAAAATCCCTCAAAATCCGGAAATATCCTTGAGATTCCACACTCGTATGGCTCGGCAGATAAATCCTTCAGATTCCGCGCGCCTCAATGACCGAATCATACCTCCTAAGATAAGACAATGCGGTCTGGTGGGTCAGGTGATCCCAGCTCACTTAGGGACTAGCACTCATTTCGGGACATTCCGAATAGGGATGTTTCCTTAGTAATGAATCTCTAATTCATGAAATATCACTCGATAGGATTGACTGGACTTAGATATATGATAGACTCGAAGTAGGAACTATCATATCAACAAAACATTACCTCCCCTCAAGCTCCTCACCAATGATGCCGGCTCACACAGCACAATATTCTCTTCCGACTAGTCTTAGTGCGGTGAATCGCAAGTTAACTCGTTGTATGTATTTCCCTGTATCTTTCCTCTATAACTAACAAAGCTAGATCTTGAGCAAACCACCTCGCTGGGTGCACTGCCGGATGCACCGCTAGATACACCGCCAAATACACCACCAAATACACCGCGAAACACCCAGGACATGAACACCCAAGACGCAAACGCCGAGGTTATAGTAACCGAAGGTATGGGCGGGACGGTTTTTTAAGGTTTTATTACACGTAATGGCACTAACAGATCGCAAGTTTTTCTTCTGATAGATGAATTCATACAAGTTCTTAACCGGAGTCAAGAGATTATGTCCGGCCAGATAAGTACATATGCTCTCTCTCCAGGCCCTTGTAACGAGGCTAACGAGTCGAACAGACACAACCAACATTAAGCTGCAGCAGCTCACGGCCGAAGTGCAGCATCTCAGAGTTGAAGTGCAGCAGCTCAAGACTGTTGTCCAAAATGATGAAGAAATGCACGGGTTCTACCTTGATCTTGACTTGTTCTACTTTCACTATGATCCCAATTCGCCTAACCATAGGGCCATGGTGATTCTCATTTTTCTTGTTTTGTTGGCTTTCAAACTTTGAAGACCGGGTGTAAGTGTGTAGTGGAGCGAAGTTCAGTACCGGGGTTTACCCTCAACGTCGGTACATTCGCTCACAGGTTGAGGGCGGATACTGGGTGAAGAGGAACCAAGATTATTAAGCTACAAAAACAATCTTTTTCTCCTTTCTTATTTGTCCAAAATTGCTGTCCTTCTATACTCAGCGCTCTTCCCACTGTGAATGGCGGTAGATAGTCAAAACAGAACTTAAATTACTCAGAACCTTGATCGTTTGCTTGTGCAGCAGCAATGTCTGTATTGAACACCCGCGACTTTAGGTGGCAGTTTGTGGTAGAAGTCCAATTGAGAGAGTGATATTCGTATGCAGTTAAGAAACCCACCGTTACCTATCTGGGGCCTAACTTGGTTGATGTTGGCAATCTCTGCCCGAGAGCTAAAGCGCCACCTACCAAGGTCGTGAAAAACGCGGGACAGGCGAGGGGATCTGTGATGTTATCTCCAATGTTATCTGGGCGTACATTTCCTGCGGCGGCGGCGGCAAGATAGAAAGGGGCGCAAGCGGCGGTCCTGAACGTTAAGGTTGGCGCCGGCTGCCTCAGCTGTCGCTAGAAAGCCCAGCAAAATCCCTCATCAGCCCTCTCGATCCTCGCTAGAAGTGCACATTTAGACGGGCAAAAATCCAACAAAATCCAACAAAATCCAGCAAAATCCCTCATCAGCCCTCTCGATCCTCGCTAGAAGTGCACATTTAGACGTCCAACAAACCAACACAATCCAACAAAATCCCTCATCAGCCCTCTCGATCCTCGTTAGAAGTGCACATTTAGACGGGCAACTCCAACAAACCAACAATAAGGTCCATGATCCCTCTATCATTGAGTTACCAATCGCGATACAATACATGCATGGTGCCACAGGCTCTGTGTTCCATTTGCGCGCGAGCTCGAGACCTGGTTGGGCGATAGCGCCCAATGAGTTAGAGGCTGGAGGCCCAAAAGCCTAGAGGGAGATGATGGACCGAAGGCTCGATGTTCAACTCGCGGTCGGAGATTCCCTAGTACTCATACTCAACTGTTCAGGAGGTCGTCTATTGTGCCGCTCTGAAACCTGACCTGACCCTGACCCATAACTCCTGCCCCAACCGTTGACCCGTAGCTATATGTAAAATTTCAAGCGCGGGACTCTAGGATTATACAGGCGATACCGCCCTAGCCAAAATATTTTTTATAAAAATCTGAGTAGATAGAACGGTAGAGTAGGTAAACGCTGACCGGCGGCAAGCAACATCCGACTCTGTTTTTGACTCCTGCGCAAAGGCCTAATCTAACTATACATGTAAAAGAAATTGGAACTAACCCTACACTAGCCTAAATATCCTGAAGCCAGTAGCACCATAACAAACCACAGAGCCCTCAACATCGTCACTAACTAGTCAAGCTTGCGAGAACTGGACTTCTCTGCTTTGCTTGGTTACTTGGATGAACAGCCTCCGCCGACCTGGAGTAGACACAGCAAAGCGCAATTTGGGTCGGGAAGATGGAATCCAGGCACTATAGCCACCGGCCAAAGGCCGGGTTTTGAGATTTTTAGTATCAACTCGAGCTCTCTTACAAAAAGGTAAACTTACCTCCAGCCAATAATGTAGCGCGGGATCCTGAGGGCCAGGACCCCATCTCCCTCAAATCCCTAACTGGTCTTAGTTGTGTTTACTCCGTGTTGGTCCCGGCCGATCATCCAAGTAGCCCAGGCAAAAGGGGAAAAGATCCAGTTCTTCTCCAACAGGACCTAGTTAGCGTCGCCGGAAGACACGCAGAATGCTTGGGCTCTAGCCACAGAAACTTAGGCAAACCATCCACCTCTGGTAATCATTTTCTAACCCCCCCAATAGCCCCCCTAGTAGCGTACCATCGGCCTGAGGCTTTCACTGCTGTTCCCCCTAATGAATTTTTCGCTTTTTCCTCAAGCCTACAGCTTCGTCTCAGTGGTGGTTCTTCATTGTATTTATCAAGGTGTTGAGGTTCGATAATCTGAGGCAGATTCTCCCGTTCTTGTATAAGATCCCGAGAGGCTCCGGTGGCATTTGAAATCTTGGCATGCAATCGACCCTTTAGGCGAGCTTTCCTTGATGACACCTCTCCGTCGTTCGGTGCGCCACCCGCCCCAGATCGTACCTTTCCCAAAAGTTTCTTTTGAACGAGTTTTTTCTCCTTACGTTTCTTCATCCATTCTTGTTTCTCTTTGTCCTCTTTGATAACAAAATCGATTGCCGCTCTTGCTTCCTCGGGTGTATCCATGACCGTTGCGTCCGAGAGGTTGCCTTCATCCTCTGGCGTATCTGTGACTGTTGTTTGCAATATGTTGCCTTCCCCCTCACGTGACCGATCCTCCTGATCCACCACCACATGTTCCGGCAAAGAGGAGTTTCCCAGAACCAACAGGGTTGTGTTACCCTTCGTCCCCTGTATTCGCCCCGTTAGCTTTCTTCGTTACTTCCTCATTTGCACAAGTGATGATTACCTCCGTTGTGTGTTCTGGTACCCCTTTCATATGCCGAGAAGGGTTTTGAGACCGATTCTGGCGGGGTTTTGACACCCCACCATAATTCAATACACCCCGTCCCCCAGATCGTACCTTTTCTCCAAGTTTCTGCGTACGTTTCTTCTGCATACGTGTCTCCTTCATAATTTTCTCCTTCATAATTTTCTCCTTTATAATTTTCTTCTTATAGAATTCATCCTGCATGTTGTAATATTCGGCGGGGTCCTCTCCTGCTCTTGCTTCCTCTGGCGTATCTGTGACTGTTGTTTGCAATATGTTGCCTTCCCCCTCACGTGACCGATCCTCCTGATCCACCACCACATGTTCCGGCAAAGAGGAATTTCCCAGAACCAACAGGTTGTGTTACCCTTCGTCCCCTGTATTCGCCCCGTTAGCTTTCTTCGTTACTTCCTCATTTGCACAAGTGATGATTACCTCCGTTGTGTGTTCTGGTACCCCTTTCATATGCCGAGAAGGGTTTTGAGACCGATTCTGGCGGGGTTTTGACACCCCACCATAATTCAATACACCCCCCGTCCCAGATCGTGCCTTTCCCGTGGGTTTCTTTTGTGTACATATTTTTTTGGCGCCTTTGGGGTGTTTGGTAGAGTGCTCTTCTGCTGCGTTTGCTTCCTCAGGCGTATCGATGAACATTACGTTCGACCTATTGCGCTCATCCTCCCCATTCCCCCCCTCCTCATCCCCCCCACCCCCCCCACCCCCGCCGCCTCCGGTGTTGAGTCAATTACCATGACCTCATCCTCCTCATCCGCCGCCTCCGGTGTTGAGTCAATTACCATGACCTCATCCTCCTCATCCGCCGCCTCCGGTATTGTAAGTACCATGGCCTCATCCTCCTCATCCGCCGCCGCCTCCGGTATTGTAAGTACCATGGCCTCAGCCTCCTCAGCCTCCGGTATTGGGTTAAGTAGCATGCCCTCCTGCCTCTCGTTAAGGGTTTCATTGCGCCAGTACATTCTGGCTTCCGACGCATTATTGTAGGTGATCTCTTCAGTTGGATTGGTGTCAGTAGCAGTAGTAGTGACAGTGGCGGTGGCGGTGACAGTGACAGTGGCGGTGACAGTGGCGGTGGCGGTGTTATTGTCTTCCTGGATCTCGGGACCACTTTCCCGCGCATCCTCGGAGCTTTCCTTGCGGGTTCCGGTTAGAATAGGAGCAGTGGTGGTAGTGGTAGTGGTAGCTCCACCGCGTGTGGTGTCTTCGCCAATCGTAAGACCGCTCTCGCCCAGGATTCTTCCTTGTTGATAGCTTCTATCGCCTTACCACAGTCAAACTCTTCTTTTGAAATAGTTGCGGTGGCAGTAGCGGTGACAGTGACGGAGGTGGTGGTGGTGTCATCGGAGATTTCCTTGCCGGCGGATTCTGATAGCTTATTGTAGTTGGTGACTCCGGTTGAAATAGGAGCAGTGGTGGTTGTGGTGGCAGTGGTAGCTCCGCCGCATGTGGTTTCTCCGCCAATCTTAAGACCGCTCTCCCACGCCTTGTCCCAGGGCTCTTTGTTGATAGCTTCGTCCGCCTTATCCCAGTCAAACTCTTCTTCGCCAACCTTAAGACCGCTCTCCCACGCCTTGTCCCAGGGCTCTTTGTTGATAGCTTCGTCCGCCTTATCCCAGTCAAACTCTTCTTCGCCAACCTTAAGACCGCTCTCCCACGCCTTGTCCCAGGGCTCTTTGTTGATAGCTTCGTCCGCCTTATCCCAGTCGAACTCTTCTTTTGAAATAGTTGCAGTGCCAGTGGCGGAGGTGGCGGAGGTGGCGGTGTTGTTGTCTTCGTGGGTCTCAGGATTACTTCCCCGCGCATCCTCGGCGGTTTCCCTATAGATGGCTTCTATCGCCTTATACTCGGTGATATATTCTGTGGTCATTGTGGGCTCAGTGGGACTCATGGCCCAGGTGGTAATAATGGCCTCGGCGGTGGTCTCAGGGTCAATAACATCTGGACTATGCAAATCTATAGAATCATCCGGACCATCCAAATCCATAGGATCATCTAGACTATCCAAATCCATAGAATCATCAAGATCCATTGGGACTGGTACATAGACAGGATTATTGTTAGGCGTAGTGGTTGGTTTGGGTAGAATCGTTTTTAGGGATTGATGAGGGGGGGCGAGGTTAAAACGCGTTTTCTGGGCTTGAGGATGAGTAAGCTTGGGGTTTGGGCGGAATGCAAGCTTATCGCGCCGGTGGTACTGGTGGTACGGTGATGTATTTTTCTCATCGCCCCAGTTACGGCCGGTACGGTGTGTGTGTGTTCCGGGGAAAGGGCTTCTGGTCTGATCAGATGTAGCAACAAGTTGGTAGCTCAGTGCGGGCATTCGGCCATTAGGGACATTGTTGGCATTAGTAGCAGCAGTAACAGTACTAGTAGCGGTACCAGCGATAGTACTAATAATCCGCCGTTAGGGAGCTGCTTAAGGTGTGGGTGGGGTGTACTTACGCTTGATGCCGGCGGCGAAAATAGACGGAGAACAGAGAGGTGATGGAGACGACCAAGATGGGGAACAAAAAGAATATGAAGAGTAACCAGGTAAAGAGTAAAAACGGACTGAGTTCGCTATGTATCATCGTTGCTGGAGGAATAGTACCAAAAATGCTAGGAATCTCTGGGAAATTCATTTTTGGGGGGTAACTAAAGTTAAATACCTGCTGTACTGGAATAATGAATCGAACTGGACTGGAATATTGGGCTTCGGATTGGTCAAATGCTTGTTGAGCCTCGACCCGACAGACCCATTTTTGCCACGTATTACCGGCTTCCTGCCTCCCACCTATTAGATTTTTGTCCTCAGGTCACGGGTGGCGCATTCACTAGCCCAGGAGAAATGCTTCGCTTGTGAAGAACGGTTTGTGACCCTTGTAGACTGTGAAGTCATTTGAATTGTTTCTAGGTACAATCATCGCATAAAGTATAAACTATGGCGTAAAGACCTATCCCCAATGCCAGATCCCCCAGTTATAGTAACTATGGTATGCTACTAACCGCGCTCCTCTTACAAGGTTGATGACTAAGGAACCCCCCCACCTAAGAAAAAAAGAGAAAAATTCCGGACAACACAAAGGAAAGTAGCATAACCAAGGAAAATAAACAGGACCCAGAGGCCCGGACCCTAGTACCCAAACTGCAGCCTGAATGGGGGGTAGAAAGTATGGGGGAGAGGTCTTTGGGAGGTGACCTTCGAGCTCGATATCCAATGAGTGCGCGGGAAAGGCCCTCCCAGGAGAGGACCCAATGACCCTTGTAGACTGACACCACTCTGTAATAGTAACTCAACACGGCTAGGATTGATTTGGTTGTAATCCCTTCGGACTTGTGGCGATTCGTGGCTCACCACACAAGATTCATAGACTAACTAGAAGCGGCTGTCGGCGGTGCAAAATTGAGACTCGTAATTTTTTTGCGTTTCCGGACTGGACTGGTCTGCTACGAGTAGTGCTTTAAACAATCGTCGTTACATAGATTTTGGTTGATCACGACGCCAATGGCCGTGATTCGCGGGAACAGACGAAGGGATGGGAGTCTCGGGTGGCACCAGTGTCAGAATTAAAAAATGCCAAGACAGTTTCGCTTTGCAGGTAGCGACCTAAATTAGTATTTTTCCCATGTCTATTGCTCCTCGTATTGAAGTATATATTTAGTACTACAGCTGGCTCAGGTCCAGTTAAGGGGCCTGTGTTTATTATAATATATAAGTTACTTATACTGTTAACTCCTAATCCCCACAATTTTTACTGCTTGAGCAAAGATCCGCCACTAGCGCCAGTCTACAACTCAAATTGATAACGAGAAAAACCCCAATTAAATAGATACATCCATAGAATCATTAGAAGAAAAAAAATTTTCGTATCTCAACAAGCCCACCAGTTCTGAAGGATAGCGCAATTTCTGACCATATCCAACCGCACCAAAACCATATTCATTGTGATCATATCCCCCTTCTCCAGAGCTAGAGGTGATGAAATTTTCATTGTGATCATATCCCCATTCTCCAGAGCTAATAGCGACGAAATTTTGATTCTTCGGAGACACTATTGAATGTATCGAATCGGTAGAATTCGGGGTAGGTGGTGGAGTTGAGGGAGGAGTAGGAGTAGGACCGGTACGCATGCAGGTCGTGCTAGGAGCCTGTGTACATACTATTTAGCACACTTACTAATGGGGGAGCAGCTGTTATAATACCTTGTGGCTAGAATTGGCCTTCGTTCTTCTACACTTGTAGAATTTCCTTCGGAGGGCTTCCTGTGATCTGGGATTACTGTTTCCCTTGTTGAATTCCTGCTGAATTGCCCCCCATTTTTTGTCTCCATACTTTGATTGAAGTTCCAAGATTTTTTCAATATCGTCTGTTGTATAGTGGTTGGATTTCATTGTGATGTCGAATTGATCTTAAGATCTTTGCCTACTGCTTTGGAGAAATGTTCTTATTTATATAGACTGGATTGCGCAAGATAGTGCAAGGATCAAAGCTTGTTCAGCTGGCCAAATCATGCATCGTTGATCCTGCGTGTATTATACCCAAATCTAGCCTGCGCGCTGTAGGAATAAATGCGTTTAGACCTATCAGAGTAGTCTTTTATCGAATCCCTGCTGCAGCGTAACGAAATTTCCGGTAGCTGTCCAACGGCGCTTAAAGCGTAAGACCTCAATCTTCGGTTCCGAACCTAAGAGTCTAAGACCCATGCCTAGACTACAATGTTCGGTTCCGAGCGCAGCAACTTGGTGGGAACGGGGTAACAGGACTTCAAAGTATCAATACCCATGTGAGCAATATCAGCCTATAGACCTAACCTTTAAGCTTTGGGCTTATAACATAAAAGCCTTACTGTTCCTATCAATCATCCCAATCGCAAATCCAAACCCAAGTTCAATCCAATACATCCCAATCGCAAATCACAAATCCAACTCCAAATTCAAGTCCATACTCACCATGACCAACGACAGGCAGTGGTCCCCCCACGAGATAGCCTACCTCTACTTTTATCTAAACCGTGGCATTACTCACGAGAATATTTCAAAGCTACTGGCTCTCAAAGCTCCCAGAGAACCCGGGAGAACATATGATGCAGTCCGCGCCAAGCTGAAGCAGCTTCGTAAACATTACCACCTTGACAATGAAGGGGGTAAAGCTGACACAGCAAAGGTATTGGAATATCTCTCTCTAGCTCTACATATACTAATTAGAGTGTATAAGGTACATGCCCACCTTGAAGAGCATATGAATATCAATAACTTTTCGGTCGATGAAAGAAAGGATCTTGATCCTGAGAGGGAAATTACCATGGAGGAATATAAAGTGATGGCCATGGGCTTACACTAGCGTGATTTAGTAAGTCCTTCTGAAGTAAATTGATGTCCCCTAAACTAATGATTTGATTTGGACACGACAGTAATCTCATCTTGTTGTGTACTCTATAAGCTTGATCGTATTGTAAAGAATGACCATAATATTTTACTAAATGTACTTTATCTGCTATCGATATAAGCTTCCTCATTGTAATCACGAAGCCTTTCTATTAGTTAGAACTGTGTAATGTATAGGCAAAGAATTACTCCCGAGGTAGAGGAATTCCGTTCCGGGAAGGGGCTGACATGGATGAACAAAAATTCACAGCTATAATTAACCACTATATAAACTCATGTACCTGCGGTGCCGGAAAGTGATGCAACGCTTGACCTAGCAATGCCGAAATATACTCAGAACTTACAAAATGCTTGAGCAGGATAGATTTTTAGTCATACCCATGATAAATTAGTTTCTAGAATAGACTCTGCTTCTAAGTTGCATTAGGTTTGCTCCATATTCTATTAGCTAGTTTGGTTGTTCAGAAGTATGTACTATTTGATCGTTGCATCACTTTCCGGCACCCCCGGGTTCATGTATCAGCCTTGAACTCCCAGAGCTTATGCGAGCAATTGCAAGGGGGTTAGTGTGAGTATTTTATTTAGAAATCAGAATTAATATAATGCAACCGCAGTCTGGACCGCACTTGTGTGTATATATATATATATAATAAAATAATATCTCGCAGCTTGGCTGTTGCTTGACGTGACTGTTTCTTGCCATACTTGGGGTCCCTGTTCGTCAAGAGACGTGATCCGCCTGTGACTTCCATATTCAGGGACCGTTTATTTTGGGGTGGTCTTAATTCGGGTCATTGGAGCAGAAATATGGCCAAAGGGGGCGGAAAGTGGGCATAGGAGCTCAGAGTTGGACCTAAAGCGCCTGATGCAGGTATATCCCACTAGGCGCAACGTTTACATTGTGCTTTATAAATGGGGCCAATCTAGTCTCCTTCCCAAAAGGAATCAGATCAGGATCAACGATAACGTTATTGTCATGTCTACAAAGCTCCGAGGTTGTACTATTTGTATAGATATGAGGCTTGTTCTTCTCCAAACACAGCAAGAGTTGACTGAACGCCTACAACAAATCAAAGTCTTACAACAACAAATCAAAGCCTTACAACAAGAGGTCAAAGTTTTACAACAAGAGATTGAAGAACTGAAAGACACAGTGCCCTGGCGTCGAATACGTACACTTCATAATCAAGCTCGAGCTGATCGCCAGCGGTTTAAAGAGGCTACTTTGGAAGCCATCTCCAAAATCTCTGACATACTGGGGGACTTCGACTTCCCTCAAGAAGCGGAGGCTGTGTCTTTGCAAAGGGTATTCGCGATTGCCATTAACGACGAGTAAACACATAGTAAGTGTTTGAACTTTATCTAACGGTGACTGCAGCTGAACCCTCCTTGGTGGTACTAATATATTAATTTCAATTAGACTAATTTCTAGCTAAGCAGGGCACGTGCTAGATCGGTGCGGTTCCGACAGATGGTTCGTTATTTCATTTGTGGTCTTTTGCTTGGTTTTCTTTTTTTTTGGTTTTTTTATTTGGCTTTTTGCTTGGTTTTTTTTTATTTGATCATTTTTTATTTGGTTGGTTCTTTTTTGGATTTTATCTTTCTTTTATTGATTGTACTCGACACCCAAAGAACTATGGCGAGCAATTTGGTAGCCGATATTTTTTAGATAAAATACCATGTTATACTTGGGGATGCCGGAAAGTTTGACCTGGCCTAGCAACTCGGAAAGGCACTCAGAATTTCAATTTTTGACACAACACAATGCTTGAACGAGATAGATATTTTAGTCATATGCATGATACATGAGTCTCTAGAATCGAGTCTGCATTTTTTCAGGTCATTGATTTGGGGTTTTTAGCGTGCAAAAGAACAACTTGTAACAAGAGACAGTAATAAAAGGAGAAGCAATGGCTATTCATATTAACTCTTACCATAACTAGGATCTCCAGCTTCTAAATTACCATATATTGGCTCCAGATTCTGTTAGCTAGTTTGATTGTCGAGGAATATGGACTAATTGATCGTTGTATCACCTTCCGGCACCCCCAGTACAAGTATTAAAATTGAGACATGCTAGGGAGGAACAAAATGCATGGGAAACACTATATACCTGCAGGTGCCCTCATCGCTTTGCTTTGTTCTATTTTGGTCTGAGGTTTTGTCACCAAAAAGGAAGGGTCAAAAAGCTTAAAGTGATACTCCGTGATTGAGTACACTTTCGCTGTTGTGGGCCGCTCGGGTATGCGCCTAACTCCTAGGCTTCCAGGCCTTTGACTCAAGCTACCGATCTTGGCATCCGTTGGAACTTACTATGCCGGCGATGCTGCCCTGTTAGAGTTACATGTTTTTTTCGCGCTAGAAGAAGGGTAGTTCCGCGCTTAGTTCCGTCAACACAACCACTACCTCTGTCAACACCTCTCTATTGATTCTGTTAGTGCCCCTCCTCTAAAGCGTTAACCCTTCGCCTCAAGTACACATTATCCATCAGATGAATCAATCACAAGCAGAAGTTGCAGACAAGCTCTTGCTTTCTGCTAGACAATCTTCTCTTAAATGTACAGCTATCGTTCGAATGAAGGCTATTAAATTTTTAAACAATGATCAATACGCAAGAGACCTTGATCGGAAGAACATTGAGAGGATTAAGAGAATTTTCGACACAGAAGGTTGTTTCCGTCTGGACAGAAGTAATAGTATACCAGTACTTGCCGATGAAGATGTGTTCCGACAAACTATAAACAAAGCAGGACTAGGGCCAGGAGTTGGACCTTATCTTAATCTCGATTTTGGAGATGACGAACTCCTATGCTTACACGGGAGACATCGGCTTCTAGCGGCATACGAATACCTACCTCCGATGGACCAGTTTTGGGTGGTTGATATCTTTGTCGACCGTATGTAAATGAGTTTTCCAGATGTCCGTTAAAATCAACTGACGTAAGATAGCAAACGAACAATTAAAAAGCCATGTTGTCCGAGATTTTACAAACTCCTTGAATATTAGTGATGGTGAGATTTGGCGACATATTCGGATGTGTACCAAGCTGGGTGATGATTCGGGGGAGAGGGAGTGGTGGTCACGACTTACAAAAGGAAAGGATCAGGATCTACATCAACTGATAAGACATCCTCAGTTTTGCCAGGCATTCGACAAACTCCTTGTGTTTCCGGGACTGTGGACTGGGCTTCAGCTGGGCTCCTTACATAGATTTCTATCTCTTAAATGCGATGAGGTATGTATAGGTTATGGCTCTTTTGTGTTGTAGCTTATAACAAGTTCTAATCAATAATAGGAAATTATTCATTATCTTCACCACATTTACCTAGTCTGGTCCGGGATCTTTGCAGGTTGTATAGATTTCCAGACTTTCACAGACTCTGATTCTGTGAGACGATTACAACTGAGGGCCCCCAACTCGTCGAGAAAGGATTTCCAGGAAATAACAGAAAATATGGAAAAGGGAGAACTATTTCCATCAATTCAAGATGTAAGAATCAGAGGGCTTATACTCCATAATATCCGCGCAACAAAAAGAATTATACCAAGCCTCTTTACATTTTTCGAGGACCTTAAATACCTTGAACCACTTGCGAATTCGATGAAGAAATTAATTGGGCCGATGAAAAGATCAACCAAAACATCAGTTTACAGAGAGTTTCAGCAAGTATTCACGGTACCAGCTACACGGCCCGCCGGCAGTTGCGACGAAGTAGTTGAGCTACAGTTGAGCGAAGGGGAGTTTGGATCATGTTATGGGAGCTTGCGAGAAAAGATGGAATTTGGGTATAGACAACTTTGGATATACGCGATGCGTCATTTCCCTGACTTGGTCTCTTTACCACCGCTCAAGGAGAATGGACAACCTAAGCCTATCATTAAGGAAGTTGATCCTGGCACCTTAATTCGATTTGCAGACTTGGCATACCGGTTTGGTTTCGATTCTCCAGCGATTCAGAAAATAAGATCGGAGAACCCCGATTATCAAATTGCTTTGGCGTTCCTACAGAGAACAAAACCCGCTGAGCTTTACATCTATGACCAGTCAACCTTAGAGTTGAACGCCAAGTACATCTCCCGAATTCTTGCAGCATTTGAAAAACGGGGTGGGGAGCCGCAGAATCTACAGGGAACCACAGGACAACACCTGAGTAAAGATCGTTTTGTTCGGAGATGTGGTAGACCTTTCGAATTTGATTACCTGAGAGATAAGAATAATCTTTTTATCCCCCAAATCAACGAAAATCGTGCTGGAGGTCAAGATAACGATATTTCTTCCTTTTTCGTGAGAGTTTCCTTTTATCTAGCGTTTTTCGGGTCAGATAATTTTGAGCTAATGAATGCTCAAAATTCTGAAATGGTAAGATTATTACTATTACACCTATACCTAATATAACTTTGGACCCTAAAAGCTAAAATAGATAACAGGACTTACAATTACCATCCCCGCAACTACCACCCGTTTCGAATTCCACGGCTACTGCACAGGCCGACCTAGAAACCCAAGTGCCTCCACCGCTCGCGGTGGCTGCGCAGGCCAATCCGGACAACCCAGTACTTCCACCACCCCTCGCGACGGTTGCTGTGGAGGCCAATCCGAACACCGAAGCACTGTCACCGAGTTCAATTGCCTCCTCTGAACAATACAATGTCTGGGAGGATGGAGATATATCCATGGAAGATCTTCTAGGGTCACCATCAGCGTCAAACCCTAGACAGAAGTTAACCCGGACAAGCCTGAAGGGGGCTGTAATGAGGGTTAGCTTAAAGCCTAATATTACTAGTAATGTCAATAATGTACGACTCAAGGTGTCAAGAACCGGTACGACTAAAACAATTTTTGATGCGAGGTTCAAATACTCTGATTCGCAGTCTAAGAAGTTTTTCATAGGCCAGAACCAACTTCGTGAACTAATGGTAGAAGCCGCAAAACAACAGTTTACGGTAAAAGATGGTAATGGGCAGATAATGGCTCTGCAGAAAGTGGAAGAAACCCTGACCTCTGGTAGAACGGGGGTTGTCACTCTCCAGAAGTAACTAATGAGGAGGTATTGTAAAGGTCTACTTGTTACATGCGTATGTTGCCAGAATCGGGTGGGATTATCTTGAGGTTGCCTAATGAACTACTAGCATGTATGATATCATTGTCTCACAAGTGCGGGTGTTATGTCCTTGTGTTCATTGGCGGTTAGGTCGATTAGGTTGGAGCCCGCGTTTAATCAAGCCATCTACGTAGTTTGTTATGTGAGGGAGGGTCAAACGCAGCTATCGCATGTAGTACAGGGCTTTTCCGCTGATTATTGGCTGGAGGATAAGCTCGCTTTAGATAATTGGAAGTTAGTTTTTCGCCAAACCCGCGATTAAGCGAGATCTTCCCGTCATATGGCCATAAATGGACCAACTACCATAATGGTGCTAGTGCCTAACCTAACAGTAACGTCATACATACATGTACTTCGGTATCAGGGATAAGTGAGAAGACACCACGATGCCAAGATTGCGTGAAGGGTGTCTTCTCACTTACCCCTACCCCCGAAGTACATCTACTGTATGTACAGCCGCATTGGGGGGTTGCCAAGGCCACATGCTAAACCACGAATTGTAGCCCACCAACAACCATGGCGCTCGCGCATACCAACTTATTGATAGGTATGACCGGAATAGAGAAATTGCAGCTCTCTCTGGCAATTGTCTCGAATATGAGAATTGAAAAGGGCTGCCTCGTGGGTTTGGCTCGGAGGTGCCAATGCGGCTGTACATACCTCCTTATTGACTATATCCGTGGGACGTCTAAATTTCAGAGACACCGTCTGAACCGAAGAAGTTAGGTCTGCTATTTAACAGTAACAGTAATCAGCTGGTATGTAAAGTCAGAAGCAGATTGAATTAGTATGACGCACGTGTTGTTTGGACCAGCAGAGGTTTTGCACCCGGCCGGATATCAGGTGCGCCGCGGGTCAGATATATTTTCAAGAAAGTAGCCTATCCTTTATGAGCTACATATTAGAATTAAGAATTTGTGCGGGCAAGGAGGCCGAGTCAGCCCTTTTGTACCTAATTTAGGAACAATTGAATCTGGACCCGTCATAAAAAGTTACACGACTTAATTCTATTCACCTGAACCTTAGAACTTGAAGGGTTCAAAAAAAAAATTCGGTTTAATTCATTAAGAATAGCTCAACTAGACTACAGTCGCAATTCGATATGCCGGAACTCAATTTGCTACCCCGTATGGTTTGCATGCAATCAATGAATTAAACAAAAAAAAAAAAGCTATCTCGTATGGTATGAAATTGTCTGATTCTTGGCACTACACATATGATACATGTATATATCATAACAAGACGTCGCTAACACTGAGTACAAGATAAAAGTTACTTTCTTTTTGATGAAATGAGGGTAGCCAATTTCTCAAATTCTTTCGCAATCCCAATAGTCCAGGGAATTAGCTGCTGGATATAGTGATCGAAAGCTCTCACTTTCTGTTCTAGGTAGCGTACCCTATCGACCCAGCATATATATTAGGCTTCAGGTTGCAATGATCATTACAGAGGCTATCAACCTACGCACCTTTCCTTCAAATCGTCAATCTCTTTAAGATCACTGGTATCAGGGACTTGAAGAGACTGGATTGGACTTGTCTCAACAGAAAAGCTTGGGTCTCGAGGGCCAGTGGCGTTGACGGTAGAATTGAGGGTATAAGAGCCGATGAGAGTAGAAGATTCGTGGAGATTAGAAGAACCGGGGATGGTCATGTCGAATGCGAAAGCGGTGTTTGGGTTATCCATCAAAATAGGGGATCGGAGCTGCTCCAAGTCCATCGGTGTACACCACTCGTCAAGAAGCTTCCGGAACTCATCGTCTGTAAAATCGTCTAAGGGCATCATGAAAGTGTTGCTATTGGAGGGTCCCTGGTCGGTCATGGCCTTTGAATTTTTGGTCGTATGTGATTGTGGATAAAGGCCGTCAGGTCATCCCCTGCTCTTATATAATATGCTAAGAATTTAAAGTAGAGATGTTCGGTTCCAGTGTTCGGGTCCGGTGTTGGAATGTTCGGTTCCGAAGGTAACACTACGGCATGTCGGTGAGCGCATACGTCTATAATCGGAACCGAATGAACACTCGTCATGACATCACGGAAACAAGATTCCTAGAGTTGGCGTTCGCCCCGACCACCCGAAAAACTGGGAAAAGCTTAGAAGTTTCAGTTAATAAAAGAGCGCCAGGATGCCCGCAGTAAGCTCATCACTCTCAACCAACACTACGAACCATAATGGAGAGAACCCGTGTGTTACCCCCCAATGTTAATAGATACTGGAACTTAAATCTAACAATTTGAAAGGACCAACTGCAGATCTACATACAACATTTTGTTGCCATCGGATCCAAGTCCTTGAAACCCAGCTTGACCAAGCCGAAAAAAGCTATCAGAGGCTATACCAATTATTCCAAACAGCTCGAAACGCAGAAGTCACATGTCGATCGCTGAGAAGCCAGCTCGAAGACGCTCTAGATGAAATCCAAAGAAAGGATAGGGTTATAAATAAGTTGGAGCAGAGACTCAGAGAGGGGGAATCGAAAGCGGGGCAATTCTTGTAGTTTCATATCACATGCAAGCAGTTAACTATGAGGGAGCTTTGGGCGGTTTCTTTTGAAATGAATTGAATGATATCACTGGTTGTTTATACTTGATGCTGTTGCTACGGAATACTATGTAGCCACCTGATTTGTTAATCTCTAAACATAGGACGTAGTTCATGCAAAAATATGTAGCTTGTTGGCGGCACCATCGTCTCAACCCAGTCTGTGGCCAGCTGTTTAAGGCCACCTGCTCGAGGTAGGGGAACTTACTTCGCCCAGCTTCGTAGCCAGCTGATTAAGGCCACCTGCTCGAGGTGGGGAACTTGCTTCGCCCTCTTCTATCGTAGAGGATAAATAGGAGCAGGTCCCCCTCATTTCGCAGACCATCCCTTCATTCCAACATTTCTCCAAAACTATCCATCACCACAATTCTATCTGTAAAACCATCCCTCTCTATTATATTTCCAACACTCTATATCCCCCACGTCACTACACAATCGATATGGAATTCATCGCTAGCATCTCCTGCCGAGCTTGGAGCCTTCCAGCGCCCAAAGGAGTCAAATCAAACAACCTACTAGTCCAAGCATGCTGTGACTTTATCGAAGATGGCACACCTGTCATCGAAATTCTGGACCCACATTACAAATTTGAAGCGGTTTGGGAACGATGTATCAACCTGTCACCGAACTCACGACCGTCGGATGCGCTGGTGAAGATGGCTACAGTCATTTTCCTATGCTGGGCAATCTTGGATCTCGAAAAAGTCGATCTTCGCGAGTTGGATCCAGTGATTAAACTCTACAATGATTATGCGGGCCTAGAATCAAGCAAAACACGCGAGGCAGCCAAAAATCGGGACAAAACAAGACGAGCTTTCACCAAGAAATGCACTACTCTTAGAATTGAACACGCATTCAGGGGAGGATCTACATCAAGAGCCTTGTTGAATGCAAAACCTCGAGGCCCCGCATGGTCGATGTAAAAAAACATCTTGTTGGGAGGGGTGGGTCTTATTTCATTTGTCATTCACTTCGCATGTATGATTCCCTTTGTCTCGGTATCGTCGGCGAGGAGTAGGTATATGTGGACGGGTTGACTACAGGCATTCCGCCGCTTATTTCGTTTGTCATTTACTTTGCATGTATCATTTCTTTTGTCTATACGATTCGTATCTTTCAGCTCAAGGTGTGAGAAGTAAGATGTATTTCCGGGGTTGACTACAGGCATTCCGCCGCTTATTTCGTTTGTCATTTACTTTGCATGTATCATTTCTTTTGTCTATACGATTCGTATCTTTCAGCTCAAGGTGTGAGAAGTAAGATGTATTTCCGGGGTTGACTACAGGCATTCCGCCGCTTATTTCGTTTGTCATTTACTTTGCATGTATCATTTCTTTTGTCTATACGATTCGTATCTTTCAGTTTAAGAAGTAGGATGTATCGCCGGGGTTGACTACAGGCGTCCCGTCGCTTATTTCATTTGTATAATTTGTCCATCTTTCTGGTAATAAATATCATTGCCCATGATTTAGTAAGCGGCTAGCCCGAGTGCTGGCTGATGACTGATCTCTGTCCCTTGATTGGATAAGAGCCGTGACTCCTAACCTGCATAGCAACGGACACCACACTCTATGAATCTACAAACTCCTCATAAATATTCAGATAATTTCGCTTTGTTCGCAGCCTATATAAATATATTCTTTATATAGAAAACAAATTTTTAATGTTTTTCCATAGATATTGCTCCTCGTACTAAAAAACCAGAATTTGAATATTTGCTGTCTCGTGTCCAGACTTCCTATGATTCTGATTTGTCAATAATGGGTGTACTTCCATCATAGAGTAGGTTTTGGGTGGTTCGGGAACTTTTTAGCGGTTCCGCTGCCATCAAAAACTCTCCAACAGAAGACTTTCCCAGTGACCAATGGCGCCGGAATCAATGAAGAATAAGATCAATGACCTACTTTATTTTTATATAGTTATGAACTATATTATAGGTTTTTTATTGTTTTAAATCTCAGCATTAATGGCGTCAACATTATGGGTGCGCCACACTGCCACTGACGTTAAAACGAAATCACGAACACTTTTGCAGAGTGGCTGTATATGTAATTCCAGGTTTAAGAACACGATTTAAAAACACTATGGTGTACAATGAGACTAGGGGTGTGCCAACTCGCGACCGCGAGTTATTGGATTATGGGTATCAAATAATTATGGAAGGCCTTCGATGGGGGCCTTCGGCGCCCCCATTCCACATCCTCTGTTTAATTCTCCCTCTAGAATTATGAGAGGCCTTCGGCCCCGTCCTCCTCCTCTCGAGTGTTCAGTACTTTGATGTGTCATGCTTACTAAACACCCATGTCGGTGTCGACCAATCAGACCGCAACGAATTAAGAAAAAGTGTATTCTAGTACATAGTAGATAGTAGATAGTAGATAGTAGATGATATTTTTGATTTGGTTGTGGCGGTTGAAGTTGGTTTGCCAAGTGCTGCTGCATAGACTCGCGTTTGGGGGAATGCTGAGCAAGGATTATTTAGGTGAGAAAACGGTACAGTCGTTCCGGTCGGAGCGCTTTTGACAACTTTCATCCGTCCAAGGGATACAAAACCAAAAAAAAAAGACGAGACAATTTCGCTTTGTTAGCGGCTTATATAGGTAAATCCCTTGGATATAAAACTACTTTTTAGTATTTTTCCCATGCCTATTGCTCCTCGTACTGAAGTGTATAAGTTTAGTACCACATGCGGTGAACACTCACTCGCGCGGGCTCGTCGAGTCGCGTATCGCAACCAGATAAACTGGTATATATTTCCTTTCCTTTCGGCCAATGACTGTTAATCGTTTCTATGGTGCGCGACGAGCCCGCGCGAGTGAGTGTTCACCGCATGTGGTACTAAACTTATACACTTCAGTACGAGGAGCAATAGGCATGGGAAAAATACTAAAAAGTAGTTTTATATCCAAGGGATTTACCTATATAAGCCGCTAACAAAGCGAAATTGTCTCGTCTTTTTGGTTTTGTATACTGTTGTCACCCGGAACTTGAATAGGCCAATCGAAGGAGTTGGGCGCACCTAAAGAGCTAGACCGTGTGCACCTGTGCCGAGAATGTACCTGTGCCGAGCATCTTATCTGATCTCTAGGGATCCACTCCAAATGGTGGCTAAAATGCTGCCTTTATTATAAAGTGCTCGGCACAGGTACATGCTCGGCACAGGTGCACACGGTCTAATGTTATTATTGTTCAACACCAACAGCACATCCTTTACGGTTCAAGTGAGGGGATAGCATGTTATTAGATACCTTGGCGCTAGTGCGCGCGATGTCATATGTTTTCATATACGAAAAGACTGTATTTTTATTATCTAATAATGACAGAAACAGTAAGGAGTTTTGTGTGAGTTATACCTCCTGTTTAATCACTGTATAGATTTTCCTGCAGCGCCAACCAGAAAAGGTTTCGCCACGTGCATGATAGCCGCCCATCGCTTGCGGTGTCTAGTACCCTACGGGTTCTCATTGCCTACGGCCTCCAATCCCCTACGGGTTTTGATCCCTTACACGATATTTCTGTCATGATTAGTAATCAATTTTGTAAAACCCTGCCGGGTTATATACCATACGGCTTTTTATCCCGTGCGGCTTACTTTCCCTCACGCGAATGTCGTTAAATTATGGCACGTGATTGATAAGATAAGATCGGAGAACTCCCTCTCTAACTCTAATGTCATTGGTACCTAACCACTATAAATATCGTCGTGAAGAATTAAGTAAACTACAGTGTAATTATATGAGGCTGTAGTTGGAAGCTCCATTTATTTACATCATCATAGACACTCTTCTACAATGATTCTATAACAATTTCCGTATTGGCTTAACGAACCCTCCTGAGCGTCCCCTTTTGCAGCTGATATATTACTCTCTGATAAATTGATAATCTGTCTCCTGATACGAGATGCTCTATTTGTCAATAGTTCAATGCATTTAGGATAGACTATTGAAAATACTGGTATGAGAAAACTACAACATTTGCCCCATCAAAGAAGCCTCAATCTCATGGTGGATAAGAAACAAATACCGTTCCAGCCGGGAATAAAACAAAACAGAAGTTATAAAACAAATACAACAGATGTCTCCATCAAACAAGCCTCAATCTCCAACCGGGAATAAAACAAAAGGGGAAGCTACACAACTAATACAACATACAACCCCATCAACTTAAAACATAATAGCAGTCCCAACGACAAAGACGGCAGCACCGACACCGGCGAGATTGATAACGTTGTTTGGCGCGGAGTTTGCGGTCCCTGACGCACTAGTAGTCTCAGTTGAATTGGCTTTTGAAGAGATAAACCAGTCAGTATTTATCAAATTTATTACATATCATAATATACCATTTGAGCTACCTCCTTTTTTACGTGCAGGGGTAGGTGTCCGAGCTTCTAGTCCACCAAAGCTTTTGGCATGGCCAGGAAGTTCGACATAATCACCAAAGATTGGTGTCGTGAGAAGAGCAACAAGAAGGAGGAAGAGCTTGGGAATGGTAAAGGAGAACATCGTTAGAGCTATAATGTTATAAGTCTTTGTTGGCCGATTAAGACGGAGAGATTTGGTTGAGAGGTTTGGTTGAGAGGTTTGGTTGAGAGGTTTGATTGCGAATGATGCTTGTATACAAAAGGTCTGCCAAGCCACACACCACAACGCAACTACCAAAGTGGCCCGAAACCAATATGGCACGCCACTAGAACAAATCCCTTTATTTGCACCCTCGAAATAAACCTTTTAAGCGAACGGGGTCGGCAAAAAAAGATCAGCGTCTACTAGCCATAGGTTCAACGCCGCTCACAGAGACCGCTGGACTACCATTTGGTAGTCGCCCGGGGAGCAATCAACTGTTCTGACTTAGAACAACAGCCAGCCAAACCTGGGCACCTTAATGGGCTATCATTTGGTAGTCAGCCCGGGGGAGCAGTCAACTGTTCCGGCATAGAATAATAGTCAGCCAAACCTGGGCACCTTAATGGGCTATCATTTGGTAGTGAGCCCGGGGGAGCAGTCAACTGTTCCGGCATAGAATAATAGTCAGCCAAACCTGGGCACCTTAATGGGCTATCATTTGGTAGTGAGCCCGGGGGAGCAGTCAACTGTTCCGGCATAGAATAATAGTCAGCCAAACCTGGGCACCTTAATGGGCTATCATTTGGTAGTGAGCCCCAGGGGAGGGTCAACTGTTCCGGCTTAGAATAATAGTCAGGCAAACTTGGGCACCTTAATGGCTATCATTTGGTAGTCAGCCCGGGGGAGCAGTCAACTGTTCCGGCATAGAATAATAGTCAGCCAAACCTGGGCACCTTAATGGGCTATCATTTGGTAGTCAGCCCGGGGGAGCAGTCAACTGTTCCGGCATAGAATAATAGTCAGCCAAACCTGGGCACCTTAATGGGCTATCATTTGGTAGTGAGCCCGGGGGAGCAGTCAACTGTTCCGGCATAGAATAATAGTCAGCCAAACCTGGGCACCTTAATGGGCTATCATTTGGTAGTGAGCCCGGTGGAGCAGTCAACTGTTCCGGCATAGAATAATAGTCAGCCAAACCTGGGCACCTTAATGGGCTATCATTTGGTAGTGAGCCCCAGGGGAGGGTCAACTGTTCCGGCTTAGAATAATAGTCAGGCAAACTTGGGCACCTTAATGGCTATCATTTGGTAGTCAGCCCGGGGGAGCAGTCAACTGTTCCGGCATAGAATAATAGTCAGCCAAACCTGGGCACCTTAATGGGCTATCATTTGGTAGTGAGCCCCAGGGGAGGGTCAACTGTTCCGGCTTAGAATAATAGTCAGGCAAACTTGGGCACCTTAATGGGTTATCATTTGGTAGTGAGCCCCGGGGGAGGGAAGTCTTCTTACGGAGTAGTTTGGATACCTTGACTTTGACAGCCTATAGCTCATTAACTACCACACACATTTTTAATTTTATTAGATAGATCTGCTCAGTTTCACCTGCTCAATCATTATATCTGCTCAGACTTTTAAAATCATTCTTTGTTGTAGAGTTATAAAAATATTTTGGCCGGGACAATGTCACTCCTAGACCACGTAATTTGTGTGTTAGTAAGCAAAATCAATGTTGTGACACACCATATGCTTTCAGAAGGTAAGACATTGCAGGTCTGTGTTTAATTTTAAACAGCGCTACTTTCAGCTCGATCTGAGGGATTTTTCAGGATTTTGGGGGATTGTCTGCCTCACCCGCGCAGCTTACTAGGCTTGTTGGTGGTGCGCGCTGAGGGATTTTTTAGGATTTTGGGGGATTGTCTGCCTCACCCGTGCAGGCTTGTTGGTGATGCGCGCTGTTGGTATTTTTGCAGCGGAGCGGGGTAATGGGCGTCTAGGAGGACATCATAAAACATAATCAAAAAGCAGTTCTCCACGCCCAAAACGGGTTCCCCGCGACCATTTCCGGGTTGGATCGATCCCGACATACTATCACATAAACAACATATCGCTTAGTCAGTACTGCAGTGGGTGACCATGTGGGAATCCTGGATAACGAACACAATGCCCTTCCTTTTTTTTTCCTTTTCTCCTTGCTCTCTCGCAAGCTACGGTGGAGTACTTTCGAGAGAGTTGTAAACACCCTTAACTGAAAATACTAGTATGTAGTTGATATACATTGTAGGTGCAGGCTTTGAGGGAAGTCTAGATCTCGATCCCACATGATGAGTGGACCAGGCCCCGTAAGAAAAGAAACGCAGTCAAAATCGCATTCCCTTTTGTAGGAATCGAAGGGCTAAGAAACGAGAGTTACATAACCTATGCTCTTTTTATATCATTCACTTTACCAACACTTAATTTATAAAGCCTCATATAAAAAGGAAAGTACATGTAGTAATGAAAATAGAATCCGCCATGAAGCGCCGCCGTACGACCATGGGATGAGTAAAACACCCCACTACACACACAAACAACATTTTTCAAACCTGCTAAAAAAAAATTAAGACATAATAGTTCTGAGAATATGTATTTTGATCTCATGAAACCGGCCCATGGCCAGCTGAGAATTTAAGCTTCCACCATGCAAAATGCCCGTGCGGTTGATTATTATGTGTGGCAAAGGTAGAATGTTCTCACCGTCGGCCAGCTGGCCAGATCAAAAGAGGCACTCTGCAAATAAACCCTTTTTAATTAAGGTGCGAATCATGATATAAGACGCTTAAGCGCAAGGAATGGATCCGGGCATTTTATCACGACGGAGGAATGCGGCGGGGTGAAAAAGATTGCAACTGATCTAACACCGTAGGAGTTGATTTCAATCACGATTTACCATATATATAAAAGGGGCGGTTTGAGTGCCGCTGATTTCACGGTTTAACATAGGGATAATTGGTAGTTTGTGAACATTTCCCCTTCCCCCAGTGCCGTCTCAAGATACTATGTAGCTGGGTCTCGGTTAGTGTGGTCGACAAGACAAGTTGACTCGAGTCTTGACTCGAGCCCAAAGCTCGAGCAGCCACGAGCAGCCAACCTCACGAGTCGAGTTGGCTCGAGCTCCCTCCACTGCTCGACTTGAAAAGCTCGAGCTTTTGAGGTGTTATTTTAACCATACTAAACATGCGGACAATATCCGTGGTGATTGATTTTACGAAATGTGTCTGTAGGAACCCTAACCCTGGAGACACCCGTTCCAATGAAGAGATCGATATCACCTCTTACTCGTCTCGAGCCGGCTCGTCGACCACACTAGTCTCGGTCTTGGAGAGATGGAAACCAACGCTCGGATTACATATAGCGATAGTTGAGCGAAGGCAATTAAAAACTTACCATCCGTCACCCCACCCGCCCCCAAGAACCGGAAAGTGTCATATGGGGAAAGACCAATGGTACACCTAACCCTGCCATTCTGAACAACATCGTCCCCAACGACCTTTCGCATCTTTCTGTAAAATCTATCTTCACAATTCATAGCCAGATGACACCTGCTCTGTCCAGACCGTCTAATAAACAGAAAATAACGAAAAAGAGGGCAAAATACTTTTTTTCGTGTCGGGATGGATCGAGTGATAGTTCGTGAATGTCATTATTTTTTACCATGTAATTGTTGATTGTGGCCAGTCATTAATTGCGGTGTCCGTGGATGTTAACAATTCTCATTGTTAAACGTTTTTTTATGCTATTCCAAACTACCGGTGTCTTTTGTACCAGGGTAGCCAGTCTGGTCCTCTAAACTGCAAGAGCTTTCGCGCTCTCTTTCTCTCTCTTTTGTTTCTTATACCCATCAGTTCTTACAACCCGGCCATTCTCTACGTTTCTCGGTTTCCTAATTCGCATTGATAAATCTCTAAAAAAAAAACAGTAAATCAGATTGCAGGATATTTATGTCTTTATCTATTCTCTACCTCTCTCTTTTTTCTTTCTCCAGACCAGCCGGGTGTTAGCACACATCTATAAATACTTTCTATACACCTCATCACCCTTCAGATTCCTCAACCTCTCCGCCGCCTGCTCCGGCGTAATATCCCTCTGCGGCTCCGCCATCATCTCATACCTACATACCCCAACCCAATTAGCACTCCCATCCAGCCGCAGCACGCACCACCACAAGGGGACCTAAGGAGAACTACTCACCCCACCAAAAACTTCCTGACACTCGCACTCCTCAACAACGGCGGATAAAAGTGCAAATGCAGATGACTCGCCGCCCTCTCCTCCTCACTACACACCAGCGGCGCCTGATGCACGCCCATACTATACGGAAACGACGTCTCAAACAGATTATCATAGCGCTTCGTCACCTGGGCGACCACCTCCGCCAGCCCCACCCTCTCCTCGTCCGTCAGCTCCGCCAGACTCGCCACCTGCCGCACCGCCACCACCATCGTCTCAAACGGCCACACGGCCCACCACGGGCACAGCGCGGCAAAGTGCGCGTTGGCGAACACGACGCGCTCCTTCTTGCGCAGCTCGAGCGCGACGTAGTCGGCGAGCAGGCCGGTGCCGTGCGCGGCCTGGTAGGCGGCCATGTGCTGGAGCTCGAGCGCGGGCTCTTCGGGGACGCCGATGGTGCTCCAGACTTGGCCGTGCGGGTGCGGGTTGGAGCAGCCCATGGCGGCGCCTTTGTTTTCGAAGATCTGCAGGTAGGTGTATTGCTCGCGGGGCGGGGTGATTGCGGGGGTGGGGGCGTAGTGTGGGTGGGAGGGTGGGAGGTGCGCGGTGTAGATGGAGGTCCAGGTGTTGATTATGGGGACAATGTCGGCGGGGGGGAGGTCGGCGAGGGTGAGGTTGTGGGTTGGGTTGAAGGTTATTACGTAGCATTTGCCCTTTGTGGCAGTTGCGCGCAGGAGGAGGGGGGACTTGTCTGTGGGCGGAGAGGGTTAGATGTGAGGATAAGGGTGGGGCGGGGGAGGGAGGGGTGCGGGCTACCGTCTGCAGACTCCGCAAGAGGCTCGATGTAGTCGGGCTGGTCCTCTTTGACGGCGCTGTAGTCATTGACGAACACAAAGGTCTCCTTGTAGTCCGGGTTGACGTCGCCCGCAGCGCGCTTGTTCCCGGGGCAGAGGTAGCACTCCGGGTCGTAATCCGGGAGCGTAACCTTCGACGGCGATTCCTGCTGTCCTCTGCGCTCACATCTGTTAGCGACTGCCCGCTCCTACACATTATCCAGCTAGCATGAAACATACTGCCATGGCCGCTTCGTGCGGTGTGGCGAAACGAGGATCCAAGACCCGCGCAGAGGGTTGAAACGGCGGTGCGAGATGTCGTTGAGGATCTTGTCTTCCGGCATTGTGTGTGTGATGTGTGTGTGTGTGTGTGTGTGCAGTCTGGTTGGTGTTCGAAGCCAATGATGGACGATCTCTTATAAATATCGTGAGAGTTCAGCCGGTGAAAGGTGGGGTCAATTCAACTGTCCCGCCGTTTAATGTCGCAGCGGGGCTGCTCTACATATATACAAGTAGTCATTCCCCGGGTAATCTCCACGTGCGCGCGCAGGGATCGGCTGAGATGCCGGTAGCGACTCCGATGCCCGTCGTGTCGATGGCTGAGGTGAGAAGGAAATCTGCCAAGACCGGGTGGAGATATCTCGAAGGGAATGTGAAGGATTCCTACGAACCGGTTTTGCTGAGAAACGGTAGAAATCAAGATTTTGCAACCGTACCGCGTCTATGATCACTGATGATCTGACAATGATGGAGCATCACACTTGCAATGCGGTAACGTGGAAGTGCGTCCAAAGATAATGATGTGTGTTTATAACCATCTTCAAAAATTAACAGCTTTACTGTTGAGACGTACGTTAATTACGTAAACGTACTCAGATCTAGATGTGGACTTCTAAAAGGACCTATAGCATTTGCAACTAAAACTTTTAGATTTTCCCGCCATTAAAGTAAAGAAAGCCAAGCCCCCAGCACCATATAAGTATAACCTATGAGTTCTCCGCAGAACAGATCAAATCCGTAAATAGCTCTCCATAGCTAGCTAGCAGGCAGAAGTTAGTCAAAGGTCAATGTTTATTTCGCAGGTTATCTTGCCATGGTTACCCGGCACCGTCAACGCATGAGCCAGCGAGCGAGCGAGATCCTGTGATTGTAGCTGACATGATCGAAAGCTTTTTTAACGGCTCAATGTATCGATTAGATCTGATAAAGCGACGAGCCACTCTCAGCGCGCCCAACTATCCCAAAGCAACTCGTCCAGTACAAGCGGCGCGCAGCCTGGCCGGGACAAGACCGATATATCCAGGAGCAGCTAGCGCTATATATAGCTAGCCCGCACGACCACCCACACGACTACACCAGTCCACACGCCAGGACTGACAAAAAAAAGAGAGACCGTATGGCGCTGGCCTATACGCAATTCAGGAACTACATTCCGGCGCGGCGCTACCCTCGGGCGGGGATGTCACGCAAGCAACATGCAGAACGTCGCCGAACATTTGACTGAATGGCGTGATTTATGTGGCGAATCAAATCTCGTGTTGGCGACGAAATCTGAGTCAGTCAATACGTAAAAGCTTTGATCGGGGTTCTCCGGAGATGCATAGAGCTCGGAGGAACTGTCGGAGCGAGAAGCAGCAGACGTTTGGGGGTTTCTAAAGAGCTCTGGAGTTTGGTTGGAATGGGAGTTGGCGGTAACAAATAGAGGAAGGTCTGTTTGCTGGATTGAGGCCTGGTTGTCTGGACCAGGTAAAGTTTTTGTTTTGGATGTTCAGACTTGAGCAGTGTTCTTAATGCTATCCCTATGATATGTGGCAAAGTCCTCGGTACGGTATTGTCTTGATATTTAAATGAGTCTCTCGCTAGCCTAGCCTCCGACGTACGTGATCATCCGAGAATTCGCAGAAGCCCGAGAGCTCGGATCAATTATTGCTAGTATGTACAGCGCCATGCCATAAGTCATGGGAAGGCGCGAGGTCGCAACGCCTGAACACAAAATCTTTCACCACCACCGATGGCGCCCAGATACCATGTACCCCGCCAGACAGCTAGGAGGGAATGACCAGCCTCCCTGCTGTGGCAAAAAACCGGAGTCTTACAACTCTGGTTGGAGGAGAATAGGGTAGATGTTCTGGAGGACTGGCTTGTCTATTCCATCCCATTGAACATGTTTGGGTACGCCTCAAGAAGCTTTATCATCAACAGTACCCCCATTTGGCATATGGTACTAGATCACCTTAAGTATTAAAGCCCCTCATGGAGGAAGGTCTAATTCATTGCTGGGAACTGTTACCTGATGATTTATTTGGTAGCTAGTTGAGAGCATGCCTAGGAGAATAGAGCTGTTATAAAGGCAAGGGGTTGAAAACTAGCTCTCCAAAGGATCAATTGTGGTTGCTGGGTGGGTAGTCGTGGTGGCCCGGGAGGTTGGCCTAGAACTATACATACATCGATCTCGGTCACCCGGAAGCACTCGGATTCCCCGGCCCGGCCAAAACCTCCAAGACTCTCAAATATCCTATTTACCCCCGGAGAAAGAAAAGGAAAGAGAAAGAAAGAAAGAAAGAAAGAAAGAAAAAACCAAGAGCCGCAAATCTACTTTTTATAGATTAGGTTTAATGCATCGAATTTTCTCCAAAAGTTTCCCCGAGCTCCGGAGGTCCGAAGGGAAAGCTTTTGCCCGGCCGCCGGAGGCCAGCCACTAGCTACATATCTACATACATGTAGTCTTGTGTGCCAAGTCACATAGGTAGAAACGGTCAATGAATAACGTTTTTTTTTCCAAAGGTGTAACTGCGCGTGAGATGTACGCACTTCCGGGTTAGCTTAGTAGACCTCCGGGCCCTGCTTGGCAAAGCCCGGGATTTCGGAGATCCGGAGGTTCGCCGGAATTCTTTCGGAAACCGACCAGAGGGCTAGCTATCGGAGGTTTTTTCTATACTCATCCGCGCCGGTGCGGTGCTTAGATATCGATACATGCACACATGTACACTTGACTAGACACACTGAAATTTCAAACTCGGACCATCGTCGCAAGTATGTAGCCGTATCCTGCCCGGTAATATCATACGATATATATATCGGTCATCCCCAAATTCCCGCACAAATTAAACCCGTGCCTGTGCATGCTTACGAGCCAAAGATGCGCTGCATATTCACATCTACGGTGTAGGTCCCGTGTATATTCTCCACGGCGAAACGCCGGTCTTTTTTTTTGTTGCACTTTATACCTCCTTCACGTACGTTCCCTCTGTCGACTCCCTCTGTTACATTTTCTGCGCCGAAATCCTCCGACATATTTGCAACACCCAGCAGCGGTGGTGGTGGTGGTGGTGGTTTTTTTTTTTTTGCTTATTTCTCTCTCTCTCAAGCTCTCACACACTCTCCCTCTCCCCATGGGCTAATCTTTTGTAACACGAATGATTATCCATCTCCTTCTTACACGCATACACAGCGGTCCTCTACATATACCTCCGGGACCAAAATCTTTTTTACATCATCGGCATCTTCTCACCACCTCTCTCGGCCAATCCTCGGGGGTTTTCTCGGCCGAAGAAGAAAAGAAAAAAGGGAACTCGATATTGCACCCCGCCCCCTTCCTAGGTATAGTTGGTACGGTCTCTGCAACACTCTTCCTACCTTCTTTATTTACCTAAGAACGCCAGCTGCGCTATAAATCGCGCACGAATATGGAGAGAGAGGTGGTCAAAACGTAGTGATCAGTAAATATTAAATATATCTTGCCGCTATATATATGAGGGGAAATTGCGGCGTTGTCTATCTGTGCCTACTGAGAATAAAATTCAGGGGTGCCTGTATTATTCATTGGCATAGAGGAGAGAGCTCGGGAGATCAGCAGGCGGAGCAGGCACGATGTAGGTACGCAGTACTTACTCTAGAGTACTCTAATCTAGGTGTGTAGGCACATACATGGACACCTCAGACCCGGAAATCAAGAGGATGCAGGGTGCATCTAGATGCAGAGAGCGCAAGAAGTCCGTATATTTGAACGCCAGGAATATCAATAGCCGGTATTTATTGTCTTATGATTTCATATATATGTGATTTCTGATCCGATACCTATCCTATAAGAGGGGCTTCCATAGGGCTGATCAATGATTGTTGTTTAGAAGTGTCAGGGGTTGAGGTGTAGAGTCCCAGGGAATCTGCGCGGACTCTTGTAATGCTTCTCTCTCCTCCCCTTAAGCTTCCTGCTGCCACAGGCGTTGCGGTCGCGGAGTGTCGCTGTTAAACCGTGCCTCATATATTTGAGTCATTGAAGTCAACGCTGTTTCACCGATGTCTGATATCCAATCCCATGACTGAGCTGTTAGTACTGAATATAACCTTTTCCTGATAATATATTGTATAGTCGGCGCTGGAAATTTCCGTTGGACTGCTGGAACGCAACAAGTTCGACCTTGATGTTATTCTGGCAGAGTGCCTACAGCTGCTAGCTTCTAAGCCCTAGTGAATGAACCCTTAGAGCGAGATTTCTAATATCACTTATTACTCAATCAAAAAAAAAGAACGCGTACTCCTCTTACCCAGAAACTCGCGAGAAGAGAAAAGAAAGAAAAAAGCCACACGATACTACACACGCAGTTGTCCACCTATCTCCCCGCATTGAAAGCTCTAGTCTCTAGAGCACCTGCCTACTCTATTCCAAGTATGATGTAGCTTAGACAGCCTCCAGAAAGGGGCCTGTGCGGCGATATCGAACTCGAAATCGGGCCGGTAAAGTGTTTAGCCCCACACCAAAATCACGGGAAGCCGAACAGTAGCCAGTCACTCGGGAGGGAGGAAGGGGCTTTGTCGATGAAAGACATTAACACATGTATTTATACATATCGATAAATCGACTCATACCCAATCCCCATGTTGTTGTCGCAGACCTGGCCTCACCCCCTCACCCCCCCACCCCCCAGTTAAACGAGCTTTGTCATACACACCACCGGTCTTCTTCGCGTCTCATCGTACCCTCGTAACACAAAAGAGCCGATAACACACAGCATCGCACCCGAAAGAAGGGGAGTGTCGGCTAGGGACGCATGGCACAGTCGTCGAAGAGGGATTATCCATGGCACGTCGACCTCGTGTAGAGTATGGTTATTGCGCAATTGAGGATTTGAGGGTTTGTGTTTTTGCTTTTACATGATATCAAACAAGAATAGTTTGCATATGACCCGCACGAGGTACGGTTCATGGGGTCTCCGCATTTTTCTTACTGGCTTTTGTGGGGAAATTTGCCACTGCGGAGGGAGGAGCTTATTTACGGGTTGTGCTAATGGCGCTGTGGAGTGCGTTCGTGAACCTTTGGGTCGGTGGAGTTGCTACCGGCTTTCTGTGCGAGACGCTCAGTTATCTGTTCTTCAAAATCAAATTGGAATTGGAACATACGGCAGTGTAATGCCCCAGTGTAGGCGATTTACACATGGGTCCCCCTCCCTTCTTCTCTTCATCTTCTACGCCATGCGCTGTAAGCAATATGTAAGGTCTGGTCTGGGCTTTGAAAAGTGCAAATTCAGCCACAGACTGGTTAACCCTCTAGCTAGCTAGCCCATGCGTTCTTGTTTTACCTGGTTGACATCTCGCTCTAAAACCCAACAGGGGTAACTAGTTTGGACTTTCTGTTTGCAGATGTGTTTTTTTTCTTTCTGAGGAAAATCGAGCTAGGTATTGGAAAGTCCTTGCGGAGTTTTCTTAGCGAGAGCAGTTAGAGATTCACAGGGCGTCACTCGTATGTTGCGGAAATGATAGCTTATCTTCCTGACATGACCGAGTTTAGTTAATTAGATGCAAAATAGTTATTTTCATCCCAACTTTTCAGTATTCTTGAGTATCCAGTGCCCTAAGCGACGAGGAACGTCTTATCTCACCTGTCTGTGCCTTAACCGTTGAGCCTGGTCCTGTCTTACGTTGTTAATGGTATAGGATGAGACAGTGTAGTTACATTTGTATTTACCTATATGTCAGCAAATATTTAACCGACCAAATATATATGGCACGAAAAGTATTATCTGTCCTTGAGACTCACATCCAATCACTGGTATTAAACGGTGAGTGTAGGAGGTTTCTGGTACCATTGTGGACTTACTTCAGGTTGAGAGACCTGAGGGTTTCTTTTCTTCTTTCGGGAGGCACCTAAGGGCGGTTGAGTTTTAGCCCAAGCCGAGTTCATCCAGCCGTTGATGTGTTGAGCCCTCCGGTTTGAAAAACCGGCTGTTTGCGAGCTCACCCGGTCGCTGGGTCCCCCATAAGCCGAATACGGCACCTATATCATCGTTGCTTTAAGATTCTCCACATGGTAAGGAAACCAAAGGGATCGTCATAAAAGTTTGATATCGAAACTCCACTCCTCTCACCGGAAGAATTTTTGTTATTTCCACAGGGGATTTCAAATTCGCACCCCCCTGCCGACCCTCCCGCCAGTCGAGCACAACTCCACCTTGACCTGTTTGATAACCGTTAGCCGACAGGTTTTTCTCCCTCGTTCCCCTCGTGCACGGAGCCCATAGTGGTTTTATCGTTGCGATGGACAAAACAGTGCCCTTTTCTCTCTGTTTATGTTAGCATCGATATCGCGTTAGACTCCACAACGGGGATCAAGGGCTGAACAGGTAAGCCACGTGCTCTGGGACATATTTGCCGTGTTCGAGAGAAGATGGTGGTTCCTGCAGCCCGTGTGAGTTTTGTATTCTCGAATGCTTGTAAAACAGGAAGGTGGTTGTTGGCGGTCCCAGCGATGAGGGTTGTACTGAATTGAAATTCTTACTTTTTCCTTTCCTCCTTTTCTTCTTTGGCCATGATGAACATACAGCAGCACCCTCGACGTTTGGTTGTGGGGCTAATTGATGGTGTCATGGTGATCGTCGATCCTGATTTTTCGCTTCACAAGCTCTAGCCCTCACCCCAGTGATCGTCTCGCTTCTGACAGAATTGGGGCTGGTTGATTGGTTGGATTTCTGGGGAGCCCAGCATCCCAATTGCAAACCTAAAAGTACAAAACCAACCCGAGGCCCAGGTTCTGTTGTGGGGAACAACTCGTTACCAGCCCAAACTTCAACCCTAATTACTCTAACTACTCAACTTACTTGCTTTACATCCTTGGTATCAGGTTTACTTCGCCTCCCTCTTCCTACCTTCTCCGATCGATTATATACCTTGTGTACCAACCTACCTAATTAACTGGCCTACATACCCTTTCGGTAAAACCGCGCTAAAAGTTTTTCTCCTTTGATACTATATATTGGAATTGTTTTTTGGTGGTTAAATGAATCATGAGTGACTTCAAGGGATGGCCGGGGAACGAAACTGTCTTCATCGTTCCCATAGTGATCACCGCAGTCTCTTTTGTGGCCGTGGTCTTGCGGTTCGTATCCAGGACTTTGGTCAGGAGACGGATAACTGTGGACGATTGGCTGATTCTGTCGGCATGGGTAAGTGGGACTCTTTCGGAATACTTTCATATGCTTCAATTTACTGATTTCGTGAATTTTTTAGATTCTGGCACTTGGATTAACGGCTTCTTTAGCAATAGGTGAGTTTTTGAGATTTTTGGGATATGATTTGATTGCTAAAGATATGTAACTGTAGGAACGAAGTATGGTCTTGGGAATAAAGAACCTTTGGTGGAAGTCTCTATGAATAAACACAACCTAGAGGCAAGAGGAAAGGTGCGTTACCGTTGATCCCATAACTAAAGAATACTATTAACATCTTATAGGCTCGATTTGCACTGGTTGTCCTATATGTATATCTTCATAGCTGGTACTAGGTCATGTGGGAATAAGCTGAGCTAACGTCCTCGCAACAGAATCCAACATACATGGCAACGAAGATATCAATATTATTTTTCTACTTGAGTCTTTTCAAAAACTTTAAGCCGCTCAAGTGGGGCGCCTGGATTACCATGGGAGTGGTTGGAATCGGAGGATTGATAATGACAATGTTGATATTATTTCAATGTCATCCTGTGAGTTCCGCTGAATCATGTAATATCATATTAAGGTGGCTTACGTGTGGTGTTCCGAATAGATTTCTGCAGCCTTCACGATAGATTATGATCCCCTATTAGAGTCACACTGCAGGAATGTAATCACGATATTCTATGCCTCAGCGCCACTGAATATAATTACCGATTTAGCAATCCTACTTCTGCCAATGCCAGTCCTGACATCATTGAACCTGCCTCGGAAAGAGAAGATTGTTGTGGTCTGTTTGTTTGCAGGTGGTGGATTGTAGGTGGACTGGTCCCCTATTCACTGGGTTACGATTTAAGTTTATATCACACAGTACTAACTATAAACTAAAGTGTTGTAATTATTGGTGTCGTGCGGATCTACTTCCTTGACAAAGCTGTGCTTTCAGGTAACTTCGACTGTAAGCAGAAGACCGATCATTCTAGGGGGGCAGGAATGAAACTAACATGATATGACAGCGGATGTCTCTCTATCGTTCATGTGGTCAGCCATTGAGGTCAACGTGGGCATAATGTGTTCTTCAATTCCGATGCTCAAGCCCCTGGTTGTGATTTTGATTCCGAGCTTTTCCTCCATTCATGAAATCGGCTATAACTCTCAGCCTAGAGGAATCCCTACTTTTCACGGGGTTTCCGGAACACATGAATTGACTCTACGCGGCACCGCGAGCAACGAGTCTGCAATGCAGGACCACAGCACTTTTGGCGCCAACATAAGCCATAATACTGCATCATCTAGGATCTGCGGTAATACGACGGAACTGTTTTCACCTATTTCGGAAGCACGAATGAACCCCGTTGAGGCCTCGGTGAGACAGGTTTACAAGCCGTTAATCCTGGTTACGATTCTGTTCTTCTTTTGGGGATTCTCGTATGGTCTTATTGGGGTTTTGAGAAGCAAATTTACTGTGCTTTATGACTTTTCACTCGGACAGTCTTTGGTGTTGGAGGGTTTATATTTTGCGTAAGTGTCTACTTGAGGCAGGAATTATTTTATTCTCCAACTAATATATCGTAGACCATATGCGTTTACACCCCGATTTCTTTCAGGGCCTCTGCTGAAAAAATATGGCTTCAAGGCTACTTTTATTACTGGGCTACTCACATATACTGCCGGCTGTTTGGTCTTTTGGCCAGCTGGAACCTTAGGCACTTTTCCGGGATTCATTGTTGCAGCAATCATTTTGGGAGTTGGTATTGCAACGTGGGTCCTTCATTTCCAAACATTCTCGAGCTTTAGGTTATGCTAAACATTTATTTCTATAGAATCGAGACTGCTGCCAACCCATATGTCATTTTGGTTGGCCCACAGGGAATGGGCGAATCCCGGATTTGCTTTGCACAAGGGTTTCAGGCAGTCGGCACTATCTGTGCATCGCTTTTGGAATATTATCCAGCCTTCTCGAAAATAGGCTCTAATGATGAGGGAGTTGCGGACATGAATTGGGTCTTTTTGGCAATTATTTTATTTATGGTGTCACTTGCTGTTGTCTTTTATTATTTCCCACTCCCAGAGATAAGGTAAGCATGACCGAGATCTGTTGGTCTTCCAGTCTTTTCTAACATCAGCGACAGCGACGATGAGTGTCCTAGTCTGCCAATCTGTGACGACCCTAGGTTTTGGAGGACCGAGTTTGCGCTTGGACCGATACTCGCTGTTTTGACAATCTTCTTTTACGTCGGTGCCCAAGAAATGTTTAACGTATTTTGGGAAGAATACTTTGCCTCCGTCGGGATAGGGTAAGCCTCACCGATACCCAGGTTTTGGTAACATCAAACTAACCTAGATTTTCCTAGAAATCTAAGAGTTGAAATGAACTGGGAAATGCTTGGTTTCGGCCTTTTCGCAGTTGGCCGTTTCGCGGGTAGCTTGGCTCTACTCTGGCTTTGCCCCCGCGTTGTTTTGTCCTGCACTTTAGTTGGTTGTGTTGTGACCGCCGCACTCGCAATAACAAGAACCGGAAAGGCAGCCGCAACTATGATGGTCTTGAACCGCTTTTTCCAGGCCAGCATTTTCCCTATAGTCTTCGGAATGGGCCTTCGTGGCCTCGGACGCCACAGTAAAACTGTCTCAATCTACCTCGTCACCGCCATTTGTGGCGGTCCGGCACTCTTAAATGTCTATTATGCTGTATCGAAGGCCAGGGGATACAGCTTTGGTATGCTAGTTCCAACGATCCTCTTTGGTCTATGCTTGGCGTTGCCAATTTACAGCTACTTATCCCCGAACCAGTTCCAACGATTTGGAGCTGTAATCAGGGGCAACACATCTGGTGCACTGGATGACGTTCCGCCAATGGCCAAGGATGTGATTCAATATGTTAGAAAGGGCTTAGGTGCGAAACAGTTAAAAGCTGTAGAGCATATCGAGCACCTAACAGTATGAGGCGGATTGAAGATGGCTGAGACGATACTTTCAGTTGATCACGGGGGGATAGGATGGTGACAGCTTCTGACACCGTATATATTCGAGCTCTAGCTCTTTATCCCAGGTGACACCACTCACCATCGAAAGATTTAAACCTTTGTCCCGGTAAAGCCTACGGCGACAACATATATTCACAGTCACCCCAAGCACTATGCCTTGCGGACTTCTTGGATTCGAGTGAAACAGGGAGACACCCGAACAAGAAAGGCACACAAGAGGATGAGAACAGTACATCATCAGTAAAAATCAAGAATCTAGTCGAGCCGCACTGGTGGAGTGTTCATTAGGTTAGAGAGGGGGGGGGGGGGGGAGCGAGTTTATGGACTCGACTCTATATTTACTATGTCGCTTTTGGAGGATATAATATCCCCTGACATGATTCGTCTAACTAAAATATTTCATTTGTTTGGGGTTTCTTTTGGTATTCTTGGCGTGTGCAAGGTGAATTTTTTGGGCGTTCGGGAGGTATGGAGGCGGTTTCTAAAAAGTTTCTCCATGAGAATAGTAGTTTGTAATCGATATTTGTATTGGATAATAGCCATAAATTCCTTGGGATGAAGAAATGTCATTTATTACAAATAAGGGTTTCAAAAAGCGAAAGATACCATCGAGCTGAGACAATTAGAAGTGGGGTGATTTATATTGCATGTGCACTGCTCTTGTGCCAAGACTCTCCAAGCCACGAGTGACCTACTGTGAAGCACACCCCTAACCCACGGAACCCTGTGATCCGTGCGCTGCGCCGCAGAGCCTCAGGAGCTATTAAAGACCAGACTACAAATATAAGCAGCAGCCCGGCGCCCTTCCATCAGTCTTTAGCACTGAATCATCCTCATCTTCCTTCATCCCCCCAAACTAAACAAAGAGAAAGGCAAAAATGGCGACCCCAATGACCTCCCGTCCGAAAGATCTTTTTTACTTTCTCTTCTCAGCAATGTTTACAACATCCATGGTCTTCATGGACCTTATCCCGCTCTGGCCCAAGGCCATTCTGCCACAGGTCCTGAAGGACAACCATACGTGGTATCTTACCACCTTCAACGATCAGCTCATGATCAAGTTTGAGCCTTGGTTTGCGGCCTTCTTGGCGGTCGAGGCATTATATCAGTTGCCTACAACCATCTGGTTCTTGAGCGCGATTCCAAGCGGTTAGTTGGCCCTTCGCGATTGATGAAGGGATAGCGGCTAATTGAGGATTTCTGGGAAAGAAAACCCAAAGTTCCCGGCGCGTGCATTGACCTATGCGTCAATCTCGTTTTTGACCACTCTCACAAGCTGCTGGGCCATCTGGAAGGATGGTGATATGACTGAAATGCAGAAGTATATTCTGTTGGGATTCTATGCGCCATTTGCCGGTATCTGTATGTATAGCCTTTGTGATAGGTACAAAACGCGAATTGGACTAACCAGGGTCTGATAGTTGGGTTCATGGCGATGGATATGTCTTGCCGTATTCAAGCGAAGATGGCGCCCAAGGCTGTGAAGGGAAAGAAAAGGGTTTAAATGCCTAAAGATTTTACAGAAGGGACATGTAGGGGTGGAGTTAGGAGTTGAATACACACAGGTTAAGAATTATGTAGGAAGATACAAATTTGATCACGGTATTGTACAAACTGGCTCACGCATATTTGGTCCGGTTAGTGAGAGAAATTGACAATATATCGCCTATCTATCATACAAATGCAGCCTCAATCCTTAATCTCGTTTTTATCGCTTTAAATGCAAAAAAAGAGTGAAAGGTATCATATTGTACCCATATCGATCCATTCACAAAACCTCCCAACTAAATCATTTTTATTTCATTTTATGCTCTGCAGAGAAAAAAAGAAAGGTAAAAAAAAGAAGAAAGCAGTAGAAAATAAAATTGAATCGTAAAAAGAAACAGATGTGGCGCCTCAAGATTAGCACCTGTATTAATGCCTTATCGTATTAGCACCCGTATCACCAAGGGAGAGATCCGAAATATGAGGTTATTCAACTCACATCTTGTACTCGCAAGAGCCACCAGTGCTCCTATGAGGATCCTCCGCCTCCAGCTTGTAATCAATCTTCACATCCAAATCCCTCCTGTTCCTCTCTGTCGGTTTACTGCTGATGTGACCAACAATGGTCTCCCCACGGTTAACGGTCAGGATCTCCTGAAGGTAGAACACAGTCTGCTTCCAGTGGGTATATTTGGCATGAGGACCAGTACTGAAGCGGATGGGCTTATGACAGGCAGTGAACTCTATATCGAACCAGGAAATAAGCGCATGGACGAAGTCATTGCGGGTAACAGTTAGCGAGTAAGGAACGCTAAAGGCGAGCTCGGCGGGGGTGACTGTGTAAAGATCGATGGAGAAGATGAGACCGGGGTCGGTGACGATTGCTTTCATTTCCACCGTGTCCACGAGGGGCTCGGCGAGAGCAGTCTTCTGGAGAGGGGAGAAGTTGAACCCGTAGACGTTATTCCAGACTATCATCCTTCATTAGAGAAAGCGCCTAGACACCGTTAAGTTGTAAACTCACATCCAATCTTTTCCTCCTTGTAGTCGCCATCTTCAATGGCGGCCATGTAGATATGCGCCTTATCGGGGAAGATCAATCCACCCGGAGCAAGGTACTTGTCTCTAGCGAGAAGAACGGTGTCCAACATGGATTCGTAGAGGAGGAAGTATCCCATCCATTCAGAGATGATGATATCGACCTTGTCGACAGGGAGGACAACCTCCTCCATCTTTCCCTGGAGAAGGGTGATCTTATCGCTCATACCATTGACCTCAACGATCTCCCTTGCCTTCTCGATGATGGTGGACATGTCAACACCAATAACATGCTTGGCACCGGCTTTAACGGCGAACCTAAACGTGAGGAAATAAACGTTAGCTGGGGGAATCACAGAAAGTTGGGCTTTTGGTAACATGAACTGAAGGAAGTATTTTTCTCAGAGGTTATGAAATCAACAGATAAACAGATATCATAATATCGCCCTTTCAGACAGGGATAACTGTAAATTGAAAGTGTTTCTCATCATTGTTGACGATGCGGCGATAGAAAAAAGCAATTTCCCTTTTCCTTTTTTCGGGATGGAAAATTTATAGACTCCAGGAGTAAATTGACCAAGAGAAAGAACTTACATGCTAAGAATGGAAGTTCCACATCCAACATCCAAAACTACCTTGTCCTTAAAAAGGTGGGCATTCTGGTAGATAGCATTTTTATACGAATTGGTGCGCACTTCATCTTTCTAGCAAAGACCGGAGTATCAGCTCTTATCTGAGTAAAAGTGAGAATGGATATAACCAACCAACATCTCCTCGTGGATGCCTTCATTGCAGCGAAATTATGTTAGTTTTTCCGCCTTAACATTCTGTCTGGTCCCGGGGAAGAAAACAAAGGAAGGCTGGTTTTATTCCGGCGCAATTATTGCAAACTGACCATGATGATTGTAGCTATCCGGGGGGGGGGAGAATTATCAGCACTGTCTTTCCTTCATTGATTCGTTTGTGTCCGGATGGGGATAGAAAAACATACCTCTGAAAGTAGTGAACCTCAGAGTGCTCCATTCCCTCCATCTTAGTGGCCATGCTTTCTGAAAAAGTGAAAGGGTTTTCAAAAAATATCCTTGGTAGAAGATGAAAGACAGAGATGGGAAGAAAGGGAGGGAGGATGGGAGGATGGAAGGGTGAGGTGGGGTGTGGTGGGTTGTTGCTGACCACTTTAGGGTGGGGAACTTTTTTCTCCCCTCACCAATTTATTTTTTCTCCTGTTACGAGCAGAGCCGCGTCCTCCTAGCCCAACAACCCGCGCTGAGATAGATAAGGCAGATAGCAGGGGTAAATCTACAGCTTGTCTGCCTTAATGCTATCGGTCCATTTCTACCTACAGGATAATTGTTTGTGCGCGATATGCCCACCACCACTGCCTAACAATCAAAAAAGGGCGGCAACCGCATATTGATAACCAATCTAGATCATATCAACCAGCGCAGATCTCAAACCTCAACTCTTTAAACAGTTATGGAAGAACCATCCGTAACCCCCCCCAAGACACAAAAGGCCGAACCTCCGGTTCAAATAACAATCAAGAATCCCGAATGGGGTTATGCCCGCCTCAAGATGTAAAACTCCCAGTGAAAACTTTCCATGGATTGAGTGCTGATGTCGAAACGGCAGGATTTATGATCCCCCATACACCGCCGAGTCACCGTCATACCCACCTGATATTCTGACCTGGCGCGCAACACTCACAATGTGTTTGACGCAATTTTTCGGGCTTATGGGGTCGGCTATTCATATTGATATCTTGTATCTCGAGAACGATGAAGCATGGTTGAGGTTGCCGAAGAATGATACAACTATGTTTGCGGCGGCGGTTAGCGGCTATGTTGGTATAATCGAGGGGAAGAATGTGGGGTTTAAGACACTGGGAATGGGTGACTTTCTGATGGGAGTTCTGGGAAAGGGGGAGGAAGATGCTTTGTGGGCATAGGCATTTAATGAGAGGCTGAAGATTTGTACGGAAAGGGTACGGTACTGTAAGGAGAATATTTCTTATATTGGATACCGGCTACTAAATGCACTAGCTAACTAAAGCACAGAAAATACAGAAAAGAACGATCATAATGCCGCCCACATGACTATAATTGAGAAACATGAAAAGAACAATCAAACACACAAATAGCCAAACAAAAAGCCAGACACTACAAACCAAACCAGAAAAAGAAGAAGTTTTTCATTCTCAAACTCCATATCCCACGCGCGCACAATAAGAAATCCCTTACTCAAACCACCTCCATGACCTTTCCATTGATACCCATTCCATTAAGGATATCCTTTACCATTGCGTCGGCGTATTTTCTCACAGATTTCTCGATGACACTTGCATGCTTGGACTTGGATTCGACACGGGAAGGAGGCTCTTTACCAAAGATTGAATCCACGATTTCTCCGCCTCTAACGGAAAGAATTGATAAGAGAGTATCACTCAGCTGTACACAGATAAGTATTTATCTTGAACGGGATATACGAGATGGTCCTTACACCATGTGTGCTCTCACAGCATCCCTGAAGCCAGATACCTGTGTCATCTGCAACAGCACCCTCCGAAAACTCAACACGATAGTCTCTGCCAACAGCGCAAATGCTGTTCTTCATTAAGCACTTTGCTGACTTCAGCAATGTTTCGTGGACATTTCGGACATAACCAGTCGCAACGATAATCGCATCATATCCAATTGTTGTCTCCACAGAACCTGACCTAGTATTTCGCAATTTGAGATGTATTTCTCCAAGCTTATTTTCCTCGCATCCCACAACCTCTTGCAAGGGGACAATGTGGTGTTGCCAAGTAGACTCATCAGGATTTTGGAGACGTTGGTGGTAGATGGTGTCGTATAGGCGCTCGATCAGTTCGAGACGAACGACACCATAGTTAGTTGCGCGGTCTTGGATGATAGATTCGCGGCGAATATCAGTCGGAAGAGTGTAGAGGGTATCCACACGCTCGGGATCGAAAATTTCATTGACACTAATATGAAAATTCTGTTAGGTATGGAGCTTCAGGCTTCAGCAGAAATTGGGATGTGGCGGGGAGTATTACAAAGGACTATCGTCGCTTGGCCTTAGAGCAGACCCTTTGATGATCAATGAGGTCTTTGAGTTTGGATATCGCGAATGAATATCATTGAAGATCTCGGCAGCGCTCTGACCACCTCCCACAACAGCGATTTTATAAGCTCTGTCTTTATCGTTCAGCAAGGATGGAACAGCAGTCGAATATCTTGATGAATGGATAACCCTTTCGTTCAATGGGTTCTGAGGGAACACATCTGGAATTCTCGGTTTTCCGCCAACCGCAATGACTACATGCTTGGCAGACAACTTCAAAAGTTCTCCAGTCTCAATGCTCTTTGAAACAACCTCCCAACTCTTAACTGTTTTTCCGCTTGTTTCCGTGGGACTCACGGAAACGCACTCCTGGCCGTATTTTACATAATCTTCGAAATGTGATGCGCACCAGGACATGTAATCGTTGTACTCCTCTCTCAGTGGTAAGAAAGTTCCCAGGTTGGTGAATGCAACCAAACGGCCCTTCTGGTGGAGATAGTTGATAAAAGTGAATTCGGAGCGTGGATTCCGAAGTGTTGCAAGATCTTTGATGAATGAGATTTGCATGCGACTTCCAGGGAGGAGCATGCCAGAGTGCCATGCGAACTTGGGCTGACGCTCAATGAAGAGGACGCGCGCATTGGCACGTCGTTCATGGAGGGCGATAGCAATCGCAAGAGATGCTGGACCAAAGCCGACACAGATTAGGTCGTAAGACTCTTCGGAGCTACCATTTATGTAGCTGTTATTTTGTTCCTTGTATGTCGAGCCGTTGCTGTAGCCGTTGCTATGGCCGTTGCTATGGCCGTTGCTATGGTCGTTGCTATGGCCGTTGCTATGGCCGTTGCTATAACCATTGCTTTTGCCGTTGCTGTAGACATCGCGTGAACCATTGAAGATTGCAGATGATCCATTGGAGAGCCCATTTATGTGACCATTGGTACTACTACCGTTTTGTGACCTGCCCGGTAGAAACCAGCTTGCACCATTCGGATGTCCATCAGTATTGCGTTCGGAGGTGCCGTTACTAGTCCCATTCTTCTGATTAAAGTTACCGTTGGCGAAGCCGTTACTGCCGGACGTGCCATCTATGACGTGATAATATTCAGGCATCGCGTCTGCTTGAGGATTATGCCAAGAAGAAGCTGTTTATTATGGTAGTCTTTCTGATGGGTCTCTGATGACTGCTGAGGCGGAGAGATCTAGGGAACAGCCTTCTATACTTGTTAGTGCACCGATTCTCTATCTATAGGCGCTGGCCAATCAGAGTGCGGGTGTTTATAATCTCCAAGTGATGCGGGTGATGATGTGTGATGATGGTTGGATAGAAAAAGCAAAAGCAACAGGAGTGTGGGTGAGATCGGGGGCACGATCTATTTGACTACTACTGACCTATGCGTTTGCTTGCAACGGCGGCGCAAGTGACTTAGAGCTTTGTGGTGCAGAAGCGGATGGCGCTGAAAGCGGTGCACTGCTTAATCTTACAACGACGTAATACACTAAGCAGGAGCACGGGGCTTAACAAATAGGCCGTTTTGTCTCATGAACGAGGCCAAAAGCGGTATCAGAATCTAGAAAGAGTATAAATCAAAATTTACCTGAGTGATGGTAGAGTTCTTTTCAAGTGGCAACAGCAATAAGCTACCCTCAAATCTAGCAAATACCCTTAGAGCAAAGGCAAGAATATGTGTTGGCGGAAGAAAAAAGACGATTGAGAATAGACAAGTATGGTTTGTGGTTTGTGTCTTGTGAGCTTCCGTCTATCTCAAGGGATGGTATGGGAGTGAGTGGCTAGATAACTCAAGCGGATATCCAGATATTTAAGTATGTAGGTACAATCATCCAGACTGGTTCACATAAAGCTATGGTCCTGAGCATACATGTACTTTAGGTCGTGGTCCAAAGGAACTACCGCTGCAGGGCACGTCCCACCCAAGCTTGCTACATTACCAGGAGTACCAACTAGCTGCCAACTGGCCTGAGAGAGGCCATGGGTCGAGATCAGATGTTTTTTTTTCTCGCTTGTAAGGAGGTAAGATGAATAGAAACAAGCGAGAATTTCAAAATCCATAGTATTTTTTGTCGAGTGAGACAGACCAATTTGAAAAACCATACAACCTCATCCACTCTATCTCACATTCCCTTGAACCAACGTCCAATTAGAAGAATTGTTTTATTGATGACCGATACTGAATTGCATGTGCCTTTACTTTCTTTTTCAATGTCTTTGCAGAAGAACGTGTTTTTCGTTTAATAATTCCTCGTTAGTAGAACTCTAGGCACTTTGCTTTGAGGTTTCTACGTTGTACAATCAGAACAAGGTAAAATATTCTCCCTTGCTACCAGCAGGTGGGCTATTCGGACAAGCCGAAGATTGTAGTTGTGCCATTGTTGCAGGAGCAATAATGTCCATCGCCTTTCTCAATGAAGCACCTCTAGCAGGAAAGGAATAGTAAAAAGGAATCCTCCATACTTGGCAGGCAGTGGCGGAGATGAGGGATTATGGGGAGGAGAAAATTGACGTAATTTAGGCCCAAAAGGAAGACCTTCATTCATATCCTGCTAGGATTCTCAGAGAGTTGAGATCATGATACAGCATGATGACTGCCTCGGGTTGATTGATTGATTCGATTATCGTAATCAGATCGTAAGATTGAAGTTAAGATAGAATCCTTGCCTACAGAATCCACAAGGGAGAAATTAGTTGCAGCTTGATATCTTGTCCTAATGGGGTTGAAACAGGGTTTTCTTGCACCTTCGTACTAGTTTTTTTCCTCGTAACTTCTCAGCTGATCATAATCATATCAATCAAAGCTAGCTGATCTGATAATGTGGATAAGATCGTTAAAAATATCTCGCAATGATCCAAGGATTCAAGTGGGGGTGTCTTTCTTATGGCGATGTTGCTTTTGAGAGCTATATTCGTCTCTTTCCTTCTTTCCAGGATTGGGGAGAAGGAGTTAATCATGATCATACCAAAAGGTTGTGGTGTCACGACTGGGTCATACGGTGGACCTGCATTAATCCTTGCAGGACACAGTGGAAAGTGGGCCTCGGCCTGGGTCCATCATAGGATCGCTGGGTCACAGTGCCACTAGATGCACTGCTAGCGATATCTAATCCATCTAGCTGCAGGAATCAGATCATCAAATCTGATAAAAAATTTGCAACGCCATGAAGAGCTTCCTGTTTTTGAATGGTTTTTTTTTTTTTTTTTTTTTTTCCCTGTGTCTTTCCCGTCCGTCTCCTACTTAGTTTTTCTCCGTTCCATTTCGCCTAGACCTTGTGGGATTTGAAACCGTTCTGCCGTTCCTTTGAATTACCGAACAAATTCCTTTAACGAAGAAGCTTCGTCACCAGGCCCCATTTTCGCTGTTTGATGATCGGCCCAGAACCTGAATTGGGAATGACGTTTACCAGGGGCATCTCTCACCCCACCATCTGATAAAAAACGCGCAGGCTAGTGATGTGTCTCGAAATTAAGTTATCGTAAATACCATCTCCGAAGTAGATCCTTGCCCAGACCCACGCGGCACGCAGCACACGCGTTTGCCAGCTCGTGAAGGAGTATGTACTCTACATCCTTGCCAACCAAGAAACCAAACACAATTTGTCAAGTTCCATACCAGATTGATCTGAGGCTTCCCCACTTCTCTTTCTTTTCCATCACAAGTCCATCATCAACAAACCTTCTCATGCCTGCAGAGGTGAAAATTTTATCGGGATTTGATATATCGGGTATGTAGATACACACGCCCACGCCCGAGGAGAAAGGCGACGAGCCCACCTCTCTCATCTTCCCCATGCTCCCTGCAGCGATGAGCAAATTTAATCAATTTATCAGATAATCTAGCACCTAACGAAAAGGGGATATGCGTCTTTCTTCTCGCTTTTATTTTCTTTTGACTGTATTTTGAGGGAATATCGCTGGGAGGTTCCTGTTCAACGCATGGAGATCGAATAGAACTAACTACTAGGCTCTTACATCGTTGATTTTTAATAATTAAGCCTTTCTG